GGCAGTATTCATGGGCAGTATTCATGGGTAGTATTCATGGGTAGTATTCATGGGCAGTATTCATGGGTAGTATTCATGGGCAGTATTTATGGGCAGTATTCATGGGCAGTATTCATGGGTAGTATTCATGGGTAGTATTCATGGGTAGTATTCATGGGCAGTATTCATGGGCAGTATTCATGGGTAGTATTCATGGGTAGTATTCATGGGTAGTATTCATGGGCAGTATTCATGGGCAGTATTCAAGGGCAGTATTCATGGGTAGTATTCATGGGTAGTATTCATGGGTAGTATTTCATGGGCAGTATTCATGGGCAGTATTCAAGGGCAGTATTCATGGGTAGTATTCATGGGTAGTATTCATGGGTAGTATTCATGGGCAGTATTCATGGGTAGTATTTATGGGTAGTATTCATGGGCAGTATTCATGGGCGGTATTCATGGGCAGTATTCATGGGTAGTATTCATGGGTAGTATTCATGGGTAGTATTCATGGGTAGTATTCATGGGTAGTATTCATGGGTAGTATTCATGGGTAGTATTCATGGGCAGTATTCATGGGCAGTATTCATGGGCAGTATTCATGGGCAGTATTCATGGGCAGTATTCATGGGTAGTATTCATGGGTAGTATTCATGGGTAGTATTCATGGGCAGTATTCATGGGCAGTATTCAAGGGCAGTATTCAAGGGTAGTATTCATGGGTAGTATTCATGGGTAGTATTCATGGGTAGTATTCATGGGTAGTATTCATGGGCAGTATTCATGGGCAGTATTCAAGGGCAGTATTCATGGGTAGTATTCATGGGTAGTATTCATGGGTAGTATTCTTGGGTAGTATTCATGGGCAGTATTCATGGGTAGTATTCATGGGTAGTATTCATGGGTAGTATTCATGGGCAGTATTCATGGGTAGTATTCATGGGCAGTATTCATGGGTAGTATTCATGGGCAGTATTCATGGGTAGTATTCATGGGCAGTATTCATGGGCAGTATTCAAGGGCAGTATTCATGGGCAGTATTCATGGGCAGTATTCATGGGCAGTATTCAAGGGTAGTATTCATGGGTAGTATTCATGGGTAGTATTCATGGGTAGTATTCATGGGTAGTATTCATGGGCAGTATTCATGGGCAGTATTCATGGGCAGTATTCATGGGTAGTATTCATGGGCAGTATTCATGGGTAGTATTCATGGGCAGTATTCATGGGCAGTATTCATGGGCAGTATTCATGGGTAGTATTCATGGGCAGTATTCATGGGTAGTATTCATGGGCAGTATTCATGGGTAGTATTCATGGGCAGTATTCATGGGTAGTATTCATGGGCAGTATTCATGGGCAGTATTCATGGGCAGTATTCATGGGTAGTATTCATGGGTAGTATTCATGGGTAGTATTCATGGGTAGTATTCATGGGTAGTATTCATGGGCAGTATTCATGGGCAGTATTCATGGGTAGTATTCATGGGCAGTATTCATGGGCAGTATTCATGGGTAGTATTCATGGGCAGTATTCATGGGTAGTATTCATGGGCAGTATTCATGGGTAGTATTCATGGGCAGTATTCATGGGCAGTATTCATGGGCAGTATTCATGGGCAGTATTCATGGGTAGTATTCATGGGCAGTATTCATGGGTAGTATTCATGGGCAGTATTCATGGGTAGTATTCATGGGCAGTATTCATGGGCAGTATTCATGGGTAGTATTCATGGGTAGTATTCATGGGCAGTATTTATGGGCAGTATTCATGGGCAGTATTCATGGGTAGTATTCATGGGTAGTATTCATGGGTAGTATTCATGGGCAGTATTCATGGGCAGTATTCATGGGCAGTATTCAAGGGTAGTATTCATGGGTAGTATTCATGGGTAGTATTCATGGGTAGTATTCATGGGTAGTATTCATGGGTAGTATTCATGGGTAGTATTCATGGGCAGTATTCATGGGCAGTATTCATGGGCAGTATTCAAGGGTAGTATTCATGGGTAGTATTCATGGGTAGTATTCATGGGTAGTATTCATGGGCAGTATTCATGGGCAGTATTCATGGGTAGTATTCATGGGTAGTATTCATGGGCAGTATTCATGGGTAGTATTCATGGGTAGTATTCATGGGTAGTATTCATGGGTAGTATTCATGGGCAGTATTCATGGGCAGTATTCATGGGTAGTATTCATGGGTAGTATTCATGGGTAGTATTCATGGGTAGTATTCATGGGTAGTATTCATGGGTAGTATTCATGGTAGTATTCATGGGCAGTATTCATGGGCAGTATTCATGGGTAGTATTCATGGGTAGTATTCATGGGTAGTATTCATGGGTAGTATTCATGGGTAGTATTCATGGGCAGTATTCATGGGCAGTATTCATGGGTAGTATTCATGGGTAGTATTCATGGGTAGTATTCATGGGTAGTATTCATGGTGGTATTGCAGTTGGCAAAGTGCAGACAATTGAACAAACACTGACTGAGTCATTTAAAGTTTTTTTTTTATTTATGATTTATTTAGCAATATAAATAAAACGAAAACTTTGAATGACTTAGATATGTTAGAGTATTTAGATATGTTAGAGGGTTTAGATATGTTAGAGTGTTTAGATATGTTAGAGTATTTAGATATGTTAGAGTGTTTAGATATGTTAGATATGTTAGAGTGTTTAGATATGTTAGAGTATTTAGATATGTTAGAGTGTTTAGATATGTTAGAGTATTTAGATATGTTAGAGTGTTTAGATATGTTAGAGGGTTTAGATATGTTAGAGGGTTTAGATATGTTAGAGAGTTTAGGTATGTTAGATATGTTAGATATGTTAGAGTGTTTAGATATGTTAGAGAGTTTAGGTATGTTAGATATGTTAGATATGTTAGAGTGTTTAGATATGTTAGATATGTTAGAGTGTTTAGATATGTTAGAGGGTTTAGATATGTTAGAGAGTTTAGATATGTTAGAGAGTTTAGGTATGTTAGATATGTTAGATATGTTAGAGTGTTTAGATATGTTAGATATGTTAGAGAGTTTAGATATGTTAGAGAGTTTAGATATGTTAGAGAGTTTAGATATGTTAGAGTGTTTAGATATGTTTACATCATATCCTCTCTGTTCCATAAGTCGTTGTCCAATGGATGTCGTTCTGTCATGTCATGTGATGTTCCAGGGGTCGTCATGAGTCTATTTAAACACCTGTCAAACCAATGTTCTTTTAGCACTGCCCTGAAGAAGGCCCTGCGTGGTCCCTTTCTCTCATTAAAGGACTTTTTATCAGCGTGCCTCGGATTTTACCCTGTTTTTATTTTTCCACAGAAAAGGGTATCTTTGTTTCTCATTGTGATTTTGAACAGACTATACTGTATACCTATAGTATAAGAGCAGTAGAATACTGTTGTGTGTCTTTGTGTGTTTGCACGCGAATGTATGTGCGTTTATGCACGCGTTTGTGTGGTTACATCTACAGAGTGTCGTTCTGTTTAATCCGAGCGTTGTGACGATAACTGGACTTTGCAGCTGGCTCCTGGTGCAGGCTCAGCGATAGTATTAGTGATCCACTTTTCTGTGGCTTTTTTGGGGTGCTTTGCTGGTTTGCTGCTCTGACCCTCCACATGGTCTGCTGCTCTGACCCTCCACATGGTCTGCTGCTCTGACCCTCCACATGGTTCAGTTCTAGAGACACATTTACTCCAAATGAAGCCTGTCCCTGACGATATTCCTCCATGCCTGTGTCGCCTCTCTCCAGCACTCAGTGCTCAGACAGTATCTTTGACCAAGAGCTCTGCTGCCACCTGCTGGCTAAATAAAACACCGTCTGCAGCCAAACCCCAGACTAGACTAGACTACAGGGGCCACAAACGCAGAAGAAAAGAGTGAAAAACAATGTTTGTTAATGCTCTGCTGCTGTTCTAATTTTCGTAATTAGAACAGCAGCAGTCGTTTAATATGTACATGGACCAACATGTAAAAGTGTATTTCACAGCAGGGCTTGGCTAGTTATTTTGTATGTCCTTTAAAGTGTACATTTCATTTTATTGAAGTATTTCCTTTGACAATGGCACGACTATTGTTACGCTGATCAAAAAATAAGAGAAAAGGTGTGTACACACATTATCTTGATCACAGATTTTATTTATAACGTAATCCCTAAACTCACAGGGACACACTACAACCATACCAGGTCATACCAATTAGTCTAGTTTGGTATACTTTGGATGCAGTAAAATAAAGTAAAATAAAAGTTATGACAGTTATCAGAAAAATGAGCGAGGGAAATAAATTATTGCATTTAGGTCTTTCTGAGTGGAGTTTGCATGTTCTCCCTGTGTCTGTGTAGGTTTCCTCCGGGTGCTCCGGTTTCCCCTACCACTAAAAACATGCACCATAGGTCTGACTGTAAATGAGAGAGTGAATGGATGGTGTTGGAGCTGATGGTCCAGTGTGTTCTGGACTCGCTTCTGTCATTACCGTGTGTGGAAGGATTGGAACAATATCTGACTCTGAACATTGGAAAGTGCTTTGGGTCTGTACCTTGGTCTGTAAAATGTGCTATATAAATAAACATTACTTGCTATTGAGTGTGCCTTGGGAAATTATCCAATATCACCCATTTGGGCAAAATGATTTCTGATTTTCTATATAATACACTTTGTGATAAAGATTGCAGAGTAACATCAGCTTGTTTCAGTTGGTGATGTGCCATGAGATAGTTTTAAATGGAAAAGGTGTGCCACGGTCAAAGAGGTTGGGGAACACTGATCACGCCACACATCCACAGACTGTATGTAAACACAGTGTGATCTTACAGACGGTAGGTGGCAGCACTGAGCGTTATCTGCCTCTGTGCGCGCTCACGCTGCAGAAGAAGAAGAAGAAGAAGAAGCAGAAGAGTAATCCAACATGGCGACTTAGAGCGATGTTATTGTTCGTTCGCCCACTCGCCTCTGCTCCTGCACCGGGCACACCGCGCACAGCTTCTCGGGAATGAGATCATCGTCTGGGAACCATGCTGCGATCCACCGGCTTCTTCCGAGGGATTGACTGCCCTTTCTACTCCGACCACGGCGAGGGGAGAAGCGGAAGAACCGGGTGTAGCAGACCGTACTGTCACTTCAGACACAGCCGCGACATACGCCTCTCCCACGGGGCTGCAGACGCCAAGAGGAACAAAGGTGGAGCAATGATTTGGGAGAAATGTTTTAATTCTCTGATAATGTTTCTGTAGCTGTTAAACAAAGCACTTTCTGTTTTGATTTTGTGGTCGAATTGTTCTTGTTGCTTAGACACTATATAATATTATTATTATAATTCACTATCAACTGTGATCATGACAGCTGATCCATACAAAGGCTTAACAATAACTTTACGGAGTGACAATAAGACTGGACTTGTTTCTGTGGTAAATTGTGGAACTAATTTACTCATAACAGAAGGGCATCACCTGCACATCAATTATTTTGTACTGTATCATTTTTTTTATTAGGTTTAGTTTAGGAACATCTTTAAATGCATAATTGATAATGTGTATATGTTGAACACTATGTGAAATAAAAGTCAAACTCTTAATTGCCCAGTATATCTCTGCACAGCATCATAGAAGAAGGAGCAGCCTAAGCAATGAGGCTCTAAATGATCTTTCTACTGGAGCTTTAAGTTCTTCCTGATCTCCCAAAAACGCTTGTGGATCTCGATCTAATAGATCCATGATTTAAATCCCACTCCGTCACAGTTTGTGTGTATTATTTCATCCATCACAATCTGACCCTGAACTTTCAGTTTCTGAGATCGCATGAACAATAACTACTAGGAGCAATGCGGTTGTATGGTTTTAACACGGCATAGAGGTGAAGGAACAAAGTAAGTCTACAACTAACTCGTGAATCTTGCACAATCAACATTTAAAAGTCTGTTTTTATGCTTGTGACATTCTAGGCAGAGTGATATGGAATCTGTAATGTATAGGGCACCTTCCATTGTCTTCCGCTTTAGTCGTTGCGGGGGCAGAATCGAAGCAGAGACTTCCTATCCACACAGACTTCCTCCAGCTCATCAGGTGGAAACCCGAAGCATTCCCAGGCCAATTGAGTGACATAGTCCCGGCTCTTCTCCTGGTGAGATGTGCCTTTAATACCTCCCAAAGGAGGCGCCACCTTTTTATTTTTTTTATTTTTTTATTACAACTTTTAAAAAATGTCGTGCCCGAAGGCTTTGACGGCTGGCTTCATTCAAAACATAATATCAAAGATCTGCCTTTCCTCAAGGTCCCAAAGTTTGTTTTTAAAAGAGACCAGAGTAGGACAGTCCCACAGTCTTGGAATTTTGTTTAGGAGTTTTGTATCAAGTAGGATGGGAGAGCGGTCCAGTGCTCGACTTGTTGGGTGCTCTATGCCCACATGGATCAATGTTTTATTCTGTGTTTGGATATGGGTTCTTTTGATGGTTGGACACTGGGATTGGAGAGCCTTTGGGAGTGGTCCATGCAGCAGCCTGTAGCCGTAACACATCACTGCAAAGTTTCTCCTTTGTTTCAATGTGGCCAGTTTGATTTCTTTGTAGTCATCATCTGCGACTGGTTGTGTGTTGGAGTACTGTAGTATGGTTCTAATGGCTCGACGTTGGAGTTTCTCAAAGTGGTTAGTTTGTGTTACATTGAGAGCAGCCCAGACAGGTGATGCATATTCAAAGTGAGGCAGGATATTGCTTTTGTACAATCTTGTTAATAGGGTCGTGTCATGAGCAGAGAGGGAGAGTCTACCAAGGAGGAACAGTTAAGAAGCCACCTTTCTGCAAATAGTCAACTTGTTTATCAAATTTGAGGTCATTTGAGAACCAGAATCCCTCAACTGGCTCCTCTTGACTTGGAAAAGCGGAAACTCTACACATTGTGTGACTGATCCTTAAATGGCCCTAATCTGTCAAAAGGCATTAATAAACCATGCTCTTTTCCAATACTTCTTCGACTGATAACTGTAGTTCAGCCGAGATATTTGGATTTCAAAAGTAGTTTTACAGCCCCTTGTTTGGGATGAAAATTGTTTTCATTTTGATTTCCCGTCCTCCGTCCTCCACCGTTTCACCTATCAGAAAGGCCTTGATCCGGGCGCCAGAACTCCCCGCGCCAAGCTAATCTCACAAGAAAATTAACACGTGGCAATAAAACTAAAAAAGGTCTGGTTATGATTATCAAATCATTAATGACAATACAAGAAATAAAGATTTGTTGTTGACAAAACTCTTGTCTATTCAGCTGTTATGGTCCCAGCTGGATTCGTCTGCATATCTGGCAACCTGAGTCAGGGAGAGTGGGAGAGGCTGCAGTACCACTTTTGGCCAGACTTGTACATACTGCTCCTTTAACGTAGACTTAGTTTTGCCTTTCTAATCTGCTCCCTCTTCACCACAACAGTCCAAAAAGGGTTGTGTTCATATTTTTGTTCAGTTATTATTGAACAAGTAATACGACATTAATAGTTGTGACCAACGTTATTTGTGTTCTCCCCACAGAACAAGGCTATGACCCCTTCAAACCGAAGGTGGTGCACGCAGAGCTGCAGAATGAGCCAGGGGCCACATCGGGCGACATCAATGGGGCTTTGGCATTGGTCAACCGGGCCATTGAAGAGGTGCGCGGCCAGATGGAGCGGGAGAAGAGGAAGCTCTCTCGAATCGGAGACGAACCGTATGATCCTAGCGAGAAGGCCTCCCAGGAGATCATAAAACCAAAAGCAGCAGCTGCACAACTCGCTTATGACCCCGGGAACTACCAAATGACTTCTGCGGATTATCACCCCAGTCCTGGCTGCAGTAAGTACACGTTGGATACAAAGGCCCAAGAAAACACTGCAAACTCTACGGAATATGTGCCCACGGTAATGAAAAAGTCCACAGCTGGCCCTCGAAAACTTTCCCCGTCTCCTTCAAGTGTAAAATACTCAAGCAGCACAAAGTCAAAATACACCCTGGACAATTGCAAGCCTTCTACAAACATGGAATACGACCCTTTGGTAACAACCATGCAAGAAAACACTGCAAACTCTACAGAATATGTGCCTACGTCTATGAAAAAGTCCACAGTCGTTCCTCAAAAGCTTTCTCCGTCTCGTCCAAGTGTAAAATATTCCAGCAGCGCAAAGTCAAAATACACCCTGGACAATAGCAAGTCTTCTACAAACATGGAATACGATCCTTTAGATGCAAATGCGCAAGAAAAATCTGCAAACTGTACGGAATATGTGCCTACGTCATTGAAAAAGTCCACAGTCGTTCCTCAAAAACTTTCCCCGTCTCCTCCAAGTGTAAAATCAAAATACACCCTGGACAATTGCAAGCCTTCTACAGACATGGAATACGACCCTTTGGATACAAACATGCAAGAAAACACTGCAAACTCTAAAGAATATGTGCCTACGTCTATGAAAAAGTCCACAGTCGTTCCTCAAAAACTTTCCCCGTCTCCTCCAAGTGTAAAATATTCCAGCAGCGCAAAGTCAAAATACACCCTGGACAATAGCAAGCCTTCTACAGACATGGAATACGACCCCATGTCCAATTACTCGGCGAGCATCACAGGTAAGCGGAAGAAAGAAGCCAGCGGCAAACCCAACAGGAAATCGCCCAGAATGCCATGCCCTACTGAGGAGTATGTAGTTACGGTAAAAAAACAGACTGCAGATGCTAAAAGGTACACAATGTCAGACTCTGATGGGGAGAGTTCAGGGTTGGAGTACAAACCGACTTCCATCAGCAGCCTGCAGCTGAAAAAGAGCTGTAACGCGACGGATGTGGATGGAGCGAACGGGAGATTAGAAAAAGTACGGACAGAATATGTTGAGAACGCACTGAGTCAAAGGAATAAGTTAGAACTGATTGACTTAACGCTGTCGGACAATGACAAACTCAAGAGCAGTCCAAACAAAAAGAAATTGGATAGTGGAAAAGCGGAGAAGAAAACTCTCAAAGAGGCAAGCAAACCTGTAGCTAGCAGTAAGCGTAGCAGCGAGTTGGAAAAGTCAAAAGTGTTAAAAGTGTCAAATCATAGCACTTCAAAGAAAGAAAACAAAGGTCAGATGGAAGTGGAGAAAAGCAGAGATAAAATCAAAACGAGTAAGGTGGCGTCCGATTTAAAGGCCAAATCATCAGACATAACAAAAAGCAACGCAAGCAAAAAGCGCCGCGCAGACTCTGAAAGTGGCGGCAGCGAAAGCAAGAAAGTCAAACCAGCCGATAAAGGCAAAAACAAACACAACAAAAATGGGAAACTTGAAAGCAGTAAGAGTTTGAAAAATGTGTGGACGGATGAAATAAGCAGTTGTAGTAGCATTAAAAGTACAGATAAAACTAAAAACAGTCCTAGAAGCTCGAAGAAACCTGCGCAGAAAGAGCGCAGTTTGAGCATAACTCATGCCGATCTGTTTGGCGACGAGAGCCCGGAGGAGGCCGAACCTTTCCAGGCGGCAATCTGTGATGACCTAGAGGAGGAATCGGTGGTGCGAAAGTGCGCCGAGACTCTCAAGAGGCGTCTCAACAAGAGAAAAGCGTCCGAGATGAGCCCACAAAGCTCGGACGAAGACAGTGACCGTGACGAGACTGCGGAATTGGAGGTGGAAAGCTTAGGCGTCGACCTATCCGGCTTTCAGGACGATCTGGACTTTGAGTCGGACCCCCTGGAGGAGTGCCTGAGGATATTCAATGAGTCTAATGACGTCAAGAGAGAAGACAAGGGCAGGAAAGCCAAGCAGGTTTGTACAGTCGCTTTGCATTGACTACAAAATTGCGTAAATGTAGGAGCTGCTAAACTTTCTGCTTGCACTACTCTAGGCTGTACGGGATTCAGACGAGGACAACGGCACTGACAGCACTTCAAACCCTCTATTCCCCGGTCAGAAGAAGAGAGTCTCCCATTTTGTGGCCAAAGGAAATGTAAGTGCTTCGTTTTCGCACAACATTCCTGTGATTCTAACAGGCACTGCCGTAAATCTTTTTCTTTAGCTGGAAAGTCCCGTGTTCCAAGTACAAGGAAATGTCTCAACTTTCACTGTTTGTTTTTAATCATTGAAATCTCTGGCAACTAGTTTTAACCGGCTTGTTCAGAGAATGCCACAGTTTTTCATTCATAGCTTATGATGTGTTAAAAGGTTCACACTGGTAAATCCTACAGTCCCAACTGGGAGTGGATCAATGGACTGCCACTTTGCAAATGAGAATCTTTACTTACAACATGGCTCATCAGGATTTTTTTGTCAATATGAATAGTACCATATCGATTGGATGAGTCTTTCCAGTTTCTATTGTGAACTTTTCTTTTTTCATTTTTTTTTTCAATAACAATATTTGCACACAAAACAATGCCACATGTTTGTTCAAATGAAAGCAGGTACAAAATTAAGTGGTCATGTGTAATACAGAGTTGGCACCGTTCTCGCCTGTGTCACAGACTGGAGGATCTTGCAAAAGATTGTTATCACTGTGTTAGAATACTAGATCAGCATAATATTATGGAGACAATAAAGGCACTTTGAGAATTGGAGCCCACTGGTGTCACCATAGATCTTTCTGGTAGTGCATGGATGCAGTTTTGGTCACATTTTGTCCGTCTTGCTGTAGTTCTACCATAAAGTTTGCATACAGCTGGAATGCTCATAACTTAAGCTCAGAACGCTGAACTCTCAAGAGGGAATAAAGTGGTTGCCTGGATACCTGCATTTCTCTCCTTATAAAGAAAGTTTAAAATATCAATATTCTAACAGCAGTACGATTTGACAGAAGTGTGAACCTTTGAAACGGCTTCATGTGCAGGTGGAGGCGCCCCCGAAGGCTGTGGTGAGACCCTACAAGCGTCTGACAGCGCAGGAGGCGTGTTACCAGCGGCTGCAGTTGGCTCAGCAGCAGGCGGCCCAGCTCAGAGCACAGAGTCAGGGTCCTGGGGCCTCTGGAGAGAAGAGGAGGGTCGCACATCGGCCCAACCCAAACCCCACAACTATTCACATAGGTACGCAGTCGGGTTGGAACGTTTACACATTTCTGACATTATGAATGAGTGAGGATAAACACATTCTTTTTTACACATTAAGCCGTTTATTGTCAAATATGTTATCCATATTCTAATGATAATGTCAAAGAAAACACTTCTGAGCCTGATTTGAAGTTTTTGAGGTTTCCCCCAGTTATTATTCTTAATGGTGTGTATTGTGGGGCATTAATTTATGTGTATTTTGACAACTGATGAGTTTGCCTTTTTTCCACTAATCAATTAATTGTTTAGATCAGGGGTTCCCCAACCTATTTATTCCCATGTACCTCAACAGCATAGATCCTGTGTTTAGAACAGGGGTGTTCACACTTTGATCAAGTCAAAATTATCTACCTACTACAAAAATTTGATTCTAAAAATATATTTTTTTGTATGCACAATATGTACAATGTATGTTGATGTAAATGCAAAACCGCATTATTTATGAAATAATTTGCATCCACACAAAACCGAACATTCATCACATTCATCACATTCATAACATTCCAAACATGTGTGTCTCTGACGTCCTGCTTTGGGGAAAAACACAGAAGTGGGCGGAGCTTAGATGCAGACTTCTGAACACTTTACAGTCATGTAGAAACTCAAGGTGGAGACATATTATTATAGATCCACGGTGAAGACGTAGGTTTACAAGCACTGACCCTGTCCTCAGCCCTGGTTTGATCCTGGTTTGATCCTGGTTTGATCCTGGTTTGATCCTGGTTTGATCCTGGTTTGATCCTGGTTTGATCCTGGTTTGATCCTGGTTTGATCCTGGTTTGATCCTGGTTTAGCTCCCGTTTTGGTTGTTTGGTTGCGTGATCACTACTGCTCTCTGATGTGGAGGATGCGCAGCAGCGAGCAGACAGATGCAGAGAACAGTTTTATGGCAGTAAGATCCTTCTTCAGTGATCAGAGGTCACACATGTTGTTTGTTGTTGTTTTGGGGACATACTGTGGCGTGCAAAAACGCAAAACTCCGGTTATCTCTGTCTACACGCAAATGAATAGACGGAGTTTTTTATTTTTTTATTTTTATGTAATGCGATCTACCAATACTCCCTTTGCGATTGACGTATTGAGCGTCCCTGGTTTAGAAGGTTCTTATAAGATGTATCCTAAGAACCTTCTTTACCTCCACTCCTTCATTGCCCGGGCAGTGTGTTTGGTAAACTCTCCACTTCTTTAATACATTCAAAGCGAGTGAGCAAAACTAATTTTCTGCTCATAAACCTTGTCATGGTGACTAAATGTGCGTGGACTGAGAAGGGATAATGCAATTCCCAAAAATCAGCATAAGTAAGTCACCCTAAAAGCCTAGTCCCAGGCAAATAAAACCACTCTGAGGTCATTGGAAACTCTGCACAAACAGTCACTTAAGATCCTCGACCGGAAACCACGACATCACCGTCACTGTTTAGTTCTACAAAAATACAGACTTTTAAATGTTGACAATATTCATAGATATGCATCCATACGATTGGCTCACAGAATAAATAATAATAAACAACACCGCACCAGCTCCACCAGGGGGCAGTGCAGCATACCCAGGTGTAAAACTGCTTTTGCCCAATCAGCATTTTCATATAAAGCAATAAAGGAATGGAACGAGCTCACTACAGACCTGAAGAGTCAGACTATCCTACAGTTACAGTAGAACTTAAAACATACTTATGGAGCAATCAAAGCTGCTCACACGAACCCTGAGGTGTGTGACCAGGACGACTGAGGTGTGTGACCAGGACGACTGATGTGTGTGACCAGGACGACTGAGGTGTGTGACCAGGACGACTGAGGTGTGTGACCAGGACGACTGATGTGTGTGACCAGGACGACTGAGGTGTGTGACCAGGACGACTGATGTGTGTGACCAGGACGACTGATGTGTGTGACCAGGACGACTGATGTGTGTGACCAGGACGACTGATGTGTGTGACCAGGACGACTGATGTGTGTGACCAGGACGACTGAGGTGTGTGATCTATGTATGAAGAGAAATGTACTGAATGTGTGAATGTATCATCTGAATGTGTGGTTGTGACATGTGTATTGTGTGGTTGTGACGTGTGTATTGTGTAGGTGTGATGCTGTGAATGAAGTGTGGTTTTAACAAACAGGTATGAGGCTAAATGTGTGTGTCTGTATTAGAGAGAATGTGTTGTATTGCAATGTTATTCTTTTAGGATTGTACATTACTGTGTCCATGTATTTTATTGATGTAACCAGGGACTGCAGATGGAAACAGCTGTTTAGCTTTAATCTGGTGCAGAACATATCTGTCTTTGAGCTTAATGTCTCTGTACACTGTCCCTTCAAATAAAGACTAAACTAAACTAAGCTTTTAGAACCACTGCTGGTTGCTCCTTTTTAAAATCCCCCCTCAACATTTACATTAGACCCTTTTGATTTTGAGCCTAGTACAACCGCGTACACCTCACACATGTAGAACTCCAACTATCTTTCAAATGTACTGTGGTTTAGTGCTTATGCAAAACATAAGTAAAGCATAAATGTTTCAAAGTAGCAGTGTGCGTCATTACTTTGCATTTGTGCTTTGAATAGGTGTGGCCAAGTCCAAAACCAAGCCCAGCCGTGTGTCGTCTCCCAGTCAGTCCCCGGCGTCTGTGAAGAGTCAAACCACCGCCGGGATCTTGTCCAAAACCACCTCCACCTCCAAGCAGAGGAGAGTGGCACACACGCCTACACTCAAGGTAGGCTTTGCATCCTGGTAAACTGTAGATAAGCCGCAGGAACGCTCCGTCGCATCCTGTAGGAATAGGATATAATGGATTGTTTTCGCTGAGGAAAAGTGCTCACAGATTTAGACATCTACGAGAACGATGAAGAGTAGGTGAGTCGAATGCTGCACAGGCTTTCAGGGTTGTATCGCAGCTGCTCAAGAAGGATAAAATTGAGGCCTAAAGTTATTTGAGAAGAGAGTGAATCAGGCATAACAGCGAGGTATAGTCACAACATGGATGGCTCACATTTTAATAATTGCTTTACCAGGTACAAATATCTACCGTGATTATGACTCTACAGCGCCACCTATGGATGGTTTCTGACCTGAACTTTTCCGATCCTCACCAAAGTTGCCGGGTCGCGGGGGCAGCAGTCTATGCAGAGACGCCCAGACTTCCCTATCCACACACACCTCCTCCAGCTCGTCCGGGGGGACCCCAAGGCGTTCCCAGGCCAGCTGAGAGACATAGTCCCTCCAGCGTGTCCTGGGTCTTCCCCGGGGCCTCCTCCCGGTGGGACGTGCCCGGAACACCTCCCCAGGAAGGCGTCCAGGAGGCATCCTGAACAGATGCCCGAGCCACCTCAACTGGTTCCTCTCGACGTTCTTTACATCTGTACGAGCAAAATACTGCTCTACGTAGAGGGTGCATGTCCCGCAGGTGACCACTAGGGGCGCAATTAATCGTATTAATGAGATTTTATATACGTTAACCTGGTCCGATCGGGCTGCCAATTCGGTGGTGAGTACGCTGCGTAACGCTTGTGGGACTGGCGTTTGAAAGGCGGTCGCAAGAGTGGCGAGGCCTTTCATCGCCACTTGCGGCTTTAATTCAAAATGTCTTTGTGTCATTGTTGAGGACTTCATTTCCCCCTAATAAATGTGTATACATTTTTGACATATGTTATGTATAATAACATGTCTGTTTAATGTAAATGCATGCACATGTTTAAATGACATTGTAAATATGTAAGCTCCAATAAATCAAATCAAATCAAATTGTCTTTAAGTGGTACAATTACATCATATAGTTACAGGACTGAAACAGGCTTTTAGGTAGACAAAGGTAGAAGTAGATAAAAGTTGTATTGAAGTGTCTGATGTCAGTGTGAAAGGATCTATAAACAACTCCAGGTCTGTTTTTGTTGCTTGGTTAAAAGCTCAAAATGGTCAACTTGAATATTATGTCCCGTTTAATTGACTGCAATGATTAAAGTCTTGATTGTGTCTTCAGAGCACATCGATGAAGCGTCCAGTCATCCCCATAGATTTTGGAGCCAAAGTACCCACCAACGTCCGGCAGCGCTACCTCAACACCTTCATAGATGAATGCATCAAGTTCTGTGCCTCAGACGAAGCTGCTTTCCAAATGGTACGAAACTACTCCTCCAGGCCTACGTGTTTGTCAGTAAACTCAGGACAAAGGTAGTTTGTTTATGCTGTTATCCTCTTGACTGCGGCTGTAATAACGCTGCCTGCTTTCTTACTGGTGAATCTCTAATATCCACTAGAATTTCACCATTATGTCTCGGTCACTTAAGTTTGCTAGATTTGTCCAGGGACTGACAAACTATTTTTACTGGATCCGGGCTGCTTTGGGCTGTCCATATTGAGTCACACCACAGCTACAGTTTTTGCCAGTAGTATGTATCTTTGAAACTATCCTCCAGTGTTCATTTGGGTTTTGAAAAGTGGAGATTAATTCCCAACATCTGCACCAATCACTCTTTAATGCCAGCCATACCTCTGACATGTTAAGTTTATTTGGGCTATTCATGCAGTATTGAAAGACAGCAAACAACCATATATTTTTTCATTCTAAACTTTGGATCTAGAAGGAAATTATTATTAATAAATATAATAATTGGTCAGTCACTCTCCCATTACAAGCCTTCTACTTTTGGTTCAGTATTTGTTCTATCCAAGCAATCTCTCATTTTGCTTTACATCCAGTCTAAGAATGTTTGTTTTGTCTGCTTAGGTTCTTACTGATAGAAAAGGAAATAGATTGAGATGTATCACATTGTTGACGTGTTTTGACTGCATAGCTCACCTGGTTTGGTGATGTGTCATTTGTCAGCTGCATGGTAAAATCTGAGCCTTCCTCCTGTCTCACACTTGCAACACCCTCCTCCAGAGACACTGGTCTAGAGGGGGCGTGGTCATTCTGAGCAACCTGTTGGTCAATAAGGATGACCACGCCTACTCAGGAAGTTACATCTGATCATCTCCAAAGAGCCTGACAGTTCTGAAGATGCATAGTTTATAGTTAACAACCTTTTTCTGAGATTTACAACAAGGTATAGCTAAACTGTAATGGTGGAGCTGAAGTTGCCTGGATGACACACTGTGAAAGTACCTGAATGGCACGGGCTGAGTGGATAGCACTCTCGCCTCTCAGCAAGAAGGTCCTGGGTTCGAATCCCGGTTGGACCAGGGCCTTTCTGAGTGGAGTTTGCATGTTCTCCCCGTGTCTGCGTAGGTTTCCTCCGGGTGCTCCGGTTTCCCCTACCACTAAAAATATGTACAATATGGCATGTGCCTCCTGTACTGGCCCCCTCACTTCCAAAAATCACAATTGTAAACCGCTTTGAGACTCTGATGTGCAGTGAAAAGGCGGTATATAAATAAAGATTACTTACATTGACACACTTCATCTGCAATGAGGAGAACACTGTGGGTGATGTCTAGTCCTTCTAAAGTTTACGTTGTGAATGGGGTAGTATTCAACATTTGTATTCATGTGTTCAGGCATGTTGCATTTATTTTATAGTTAGTTTACTTTAATTGAACTTTTAATTGTTCTGAATGACTCTTGTTGGTGTGATACACTTAGCACCACAGTTGGTATTGGCCTGATGTGACTTGTGTTGCAGGCTCTGGATGAAGAGAGCGTCGTGTATGAGCGCAGCAGCAGTAAAAACATTTACTTGAACATTGCTGTGAACACTCTGAAGAAGCTCCGGAGCAGAGGAAACCCGTCTTCATCTCCTGCCAGCAGTATGTATCTCTCAAACTGCCATCCTCCAGTGTTCATTTCTGCACCATCCACTTTTTAATGCCACTCATCCATCTCACATTTTCATATTCATTTATTTGGGCTATTTCCATCCCATATAAAAAAGGCTAATTCTCAAGAAAATAACCTTATGACGTAAATTCTAAACATCGGATCCAGAAAGCAATTATTGTTCATAATTATTATAGTAATTGGTCAATCAGTCTCCAGCCTTCATATTTTTAGTTCAGTATTTCCTCTGTCCAAGCATTCGCTCATTTTACTTTACATCCAGTCTAAGAATGTTCGTTTTGTCTGCTTTTGACTTGTTACTGCTTAGGTTTTTACTGATAGAAAACAAAACTGATTGAGAGATATTACCTTGTTTAACATGTTTCCATCTTCAGAACTGTCATGCGGTTTGATGACATGTCATTTGTCAGTTGCATGGTTAAAACTTCCTCCTGTCCCACACGTGCAGCACCCTCCTCCAGAGACAATGGTCTAGAGGGGGCGTGGTCATTCTGAGCAACCTGTTGGATCAGAATGACCACGCCTACTCAGGAAGTAACACCTGATAAATGACACATCTCCAAAGCGCCTGACAGTTCTGAAGACGCTCTGCAGCCAAAACATGTTAACAAGATAATACGTCTCAACCAATAGTTATCTTTCAACAAGAACCTAAGCAGTAAAAAACCCTCATTTTGTTCAGTAAATTCTAAAATTCAAGTTAAATAAAGGCAATTGTTTGATCATAATACCAACATGATAAAAGCCTATTTTGAAAATTATATTAATAATATTAATAATTATGATAATTATGCATCAGTTTTATATCGCGCATTTTGGCCACACTCCATACACGGCGGTGATAAACTGCTGTAGCCACAGCTGTCCTGGGGCACACTGACCACCACCAACCATTCACACCAGGCTCATTCTAGGCAAAGTGGATGTCTTGCCAAACTGTGGCTCCTAGTGTTCCCAGAATCGTCCATAGCGGGGACACTGTGTCAAATAGATCAATAGATCCAAAATACAAATACAGAGGTATCTGGTCACAGTACTAGTCATGTCCTGCTCAGCTTCAGAGGTCTGTTGGGATCTGGCTTTCACAATATGGCCACAAAAGATGTTCTAAAGGCAAATGATGGGCTGAAAAACTGTATTCATCCCCAAAGGGTTTAAAAAAGATAAACATGAATTCGGCACATTGGCAAAAGCCATTATGATTTTTTTGTTTTCTTTTATGTGGCCCCGGCCAAAATGAGTTTGACCCATGGGGTGCATGAAAGATCCCCCACTAACCCTTAACAAGTCAAAAAGGTTGAGCTACAGGCTCAAAGCAGTCTGATGCACGTCTGAATCCATATCACTGCACAAGTAAGTAAGTAAGTAATCTTTATTTATATACCGCCTTTTCACTGCACATCGGAGTCTCAAAGCGGTTTACAATTGTTATTTTTGGGAGTGGGGGTGCCAGTACAGGAGGCACATGCCAGACCTATTGTACATATTTTATTCACAAATACTCACTGGAACCATATACCAGTTTGTAGCCCACAGAATGATAAACTGTACTTCATGGCATTAACTTCTACTGCTTTAATGTTTTAATTACTTGTTCTCTCCCTTTCTAGTTCTAACCAAATTGTTGTACTGATTTTCCCTAGAGCCAGCAGCTGCTGTGTCGAACAGAAGGGCCCAGTCTCACGAGGAGGTTTTGGGGGGTCGTCTAGCAGCCACCACGAGCTTCACTGTCAACAGAACAGGCAAACAGAGCCAGGAGAAACTAAGCGGTAACTTCTAGACTGAGAATCGCTCGTGCAGCTCTGCACTGCCACCTTTTTATGTTATTGTTTATTTGGTTGGGACAGTGCATTTTAATGCACACCTCTCTGGAGCCTTGGTCTAATTTGCATCTGTTGTCCCACAGTCACTCTCACAAACACGTTGTACATGTTTTACAATAGTTTTAGGGGAAACCGGAGCACCTGGAGGAAACCCACGCAGACACAGGAAGTACATGCAGAAAGGCTTGGAGGTGGAGTCAAACCCAGAACCTTCAGAAGCGCTAACAGACGCGCCACCATCATGCACATGTTTTTTATCACCTCTTAGACACCTTTGTGAGAAAATGATAAGAACTTAGTTGATATATCAGTGGAAGAAGGAGCGCTACCGCAGGGCCTTCATCTCCACCGCTGTCAGACTGTACAACAAGTCACTTTAAGTCACTACAGACCTGCACTAGGACTGAAGAACCAGTACTGCTATTGCCAGTATTGACTATATTTTTAACCTTTAACGTGTTGCACACTTCTGTCTTTTGCACAATCTGAGTGAATCTATCTGTACCAAATGTGACGTGTAAATGTCTTCATTGTGAGATTAATGAAGTTTAGCTTATTTTATGTACTGACAAAAAACTTTGCGACTGTTGGACCAGGAATTAGAGAAATTGGTTCTAAACTGACTTTTGAAACTTATCACCAAAATGTTTCGTCTGTCTTCCACCACATGTGAAACTTGTAATGTTGTGATGTCTCATTAATGCAAACTCATGATATGGTAGATTATTTATAAATAATCATGAACAATAGAGAAGGATATGGTAAGTGTTGAAAGTAGACCTGACCTAGTAGATGGAATGAAATTAAACTGAGTGAATTCATTAGGAGTTGCCAGTCTCGGTTGGTCCAATCAGGACCGGTGTAACTCCGAGATACACTGTCTTGAAGAGATGCACAGCCTCAGCTGTTTATGATGTAATGCAAACCTGCGCGTCTCACGGCAACCGAAGCAAACCAAGATGGCGGACCGTGAATTGCTTTAAAAGTTGAAATACGAACGAATTAAGACACGAATGTCACTTTTAATGCAATTTGAGGCGAGATGTTGATGGTTCCGTTTTGTCACATGTGGGTTTTAAGAGTCAAAGTTTTGTGCAAAGTTTAGTTTAAGCAGTCAACTGCGCCTGTGAAACCACAAAGCTAATGTTTTCATAGCAGTCCGCGGCTGCTGACGTAGGCTGATGACGTAGGCTGCTGACGTAGGCTGATGACTCGTCCTGTGGCCACTCTACACTCTTACACTGGTCTGTCGGGTTGATAATGGAAATAATAAATTTCATTCAATGCATGTATCGTACTGTATTTAATATGATTAACAATAGTGTGTTCAAACAAAATATTTAATTAGATTGATTTTTTTCCCCATTTTCCATTATCAACCCGACAGACCAGTGTAAGAGTGTAGAGTGGCCACAGGACGCGTCATCAGCCTACGTCAGCAGCCGCGGACTGCTATGAAAACATTAGCTTTGTGGTTTCACAGGCGCAGTTGACTGCTTAAACTAAACTTTGCACAAAACTTTGACTCTTAAAACCCACATGTGACAAAACGGAACCATCAACATCTCGCCTCAAATTGCATTAAAAGTGACATTCGTGTCTTAATTCGTTCGTATTTCAACTTTTAAAGCAATTCATGGTCCGCCATCTTGGTTTGCTTCGGTTGCCGTGAGACGCGCATGCGCAGGTTTGCATTACATCATAAACAGCTGAGGCTGTGCATCTCTTCAAGACAGTGTATCTCGGAGTTACACCGGTCCTGGGTCCAGTCCTCATAAGCCATCTCAAAGTCCCCCTTCTTCTTTGTCAGTACATATCACCTATAGCTGGGGTGCTCACACTACAATAAAGACCTATCAAGCCCGAGATCCATCCCAGTTTTAATGTGCAAAACTTTTCAGTCAGATGCACTTCCAGCTTAAGCATACTGTTTGTGTTTTACTTTTGTACAGGAGCAACGCTGTACCACAAGCTGAAGCCTTATTTAATGAGTGAGGAGCAGCTGCAGGAGCACGGGTATCCCAGAAAGGACCCAGAGGCTTCAGGAAGGGCCCTCCTCTGCAATGTCGAGAAGAAAGCGGCGCCGGTGGACCGTAAGCAGCACATCCACCTCATTTGTACACTTTGTGAATTCATGATGACAACATTAGGGGGTTAGCAGTGGCTCAGTTGGTAGGGCATTGGGCCTGAAGGTCATAGGTTCAAGCCCACCACGAGACCAACTTCGTTGCCTGACTTGCCTGCTGACATATCAAGGCTACTGTAGACTCAACGCCTGCAGGTGGATCAGTGAGAATGCAGCGATGATGCATACTGTCCGCGAGTGCGGGTCTCACAGACATGAGCAGCCGTAGTGGCTTCCATCACTTTACAGTGGCCTCGCCACTCTTGCGACCGCCTTTCGAACGCCAGTCCCACAAGCGTTACGCAGCGTACTCGCCGCCAAATTGGCAGCCCGATCGGACCAGGTTTACGTATATAAAATCTCATTAATACGATTAATTGCGCCCCTAGTGGTCACCTGCGGGACATGCACCCTCTACGTAGAGCAGTATTTTGCTCGTACAGATGTAAAGATTTGATTGTGCAACTTTGGTGAGGATCGGAAAAGTTCAGGTCGGAAACCATCCATAGGTGGCGCTGTAGAGTCATAATCACGGTAGATACAGTGCCTTGCGAAAGTATGCGGCCCCCTTGAACCTTTCAACATTTCACCACATTTCAGGCTTCAAACATAAAGATATAAAATTTAATTTTTTTGTCATGAATCAACAACAAATGGGACACAATAGTGAAGTGGAACAAAATTTATTGGATAATTTAAACTTTTTTAACAAATAAAAAACTGAAAAGTGGGGCGTGCAATATTATTGGGCCCCTTTACTTTCAGTGCAGCAAACTCAGTCCAGAAGTTCAGTGAGGATCTTTGAATGATCCAATGTTGTCCTAAATGACTGATGATGATAAATAGAATGCACCTGTGCACATGTTTTACAAATGATCAATTTACTCGCGAACGGTAAAACGTAGCAACTTACTTTTTTTTCGTCTGTGAAGTGCGTATTCAGGGCTTGATTTGTCTGTGCGATACACGGAGGATAAACTACGTTTGTCTGAAAGTCTGTGTCCAAAGCGTGACCCGTGAGGTACAAACAGCTGTGAGATACAAACACACGGGGACTGCCAAAGATCGTCAGAGAGTGAGATGTCTCACTCCTCTGCGTTTACTCGTTCTCCCACAGTTGGAACTACAGCTGCGATTGCAATAACCGGCTGAAGAGTGCGCATTATTTATATAATCTTAAATTGAAATTGTCAAAAAATGTTGGAATTTTGGGTAAATTGAGACATGTTTTAAACCAAAAATCACGCCACCTGTTATACAACTCCCTTATTCTTCCCTATTTGAGTTACGGTGCTGAAATATGGGGAAACAATTACAGAACAAATATTGAACCAATTTTTCTACTTCAAAAGAAGGCCATACGAATTGTGTTTAAAACACACTACTACGCACCGACTAACCCTCTCTTTATCCAGTTAAGAACTTTAAAAATGTATGATATTGTTGATGTGAGTACACTGGCTGTGGTATACAGGGCTCAGCACAATAATCTTCCACCCAATATTCAAAATATGTTTGAACATAGAGATTGTAGTTACAATCTCAGAGGAACAGGGATTTTCAAAATAAATAAGGCAAGAACTAACAAAAAAAGCAGATGTGTCTCGGTCAGAGGAGTGAGACTATGGAACAACTTAGACGACGCAATCAAAAACTCCTACTCATTGAAGACGTTTAAAAATAATATTAAACATAATATTTTAAGTAATTACCAAGCCCAAGAATGATAGGTCTAGCAGCTCTCCTACATCTCTATGACAGCCTTTTGCTGTTTGCTTTTGTTGTTAAAATATTAAAATGTGTTTTCTCAAATTATTTATATTTTTCCATCCTATTGTTTCTTTTTTTTTATTAAAATGTTCTCCTGATCTTGACTTTTAGTTTGGCTTCTATTTTAAAAGGGTTTTTTCCCCATACTTTGGAGACTTTACTTAATGAATTGGATTAGGCAAAAATAAGTTATACTTCAGCCTAATCCCTTCGGTCACAACTGCGTTTGTAAATCTATGTGAAAGCATGTACATTACTGACATAAGATTCATTGTTTTTGTAACCTTGTCCTCTTTTGATTGTCTTTTATGTCTAAATAATGATAATTTGTATGACCGAATAAACAAACAAACATCAAACATAAAGACGATAATAAATACAGTAAAATGACATTATGTGTATATGATGTATATAAATATATGTATTATATAAATAATGTTTTTTTTTTTTTTGGCTCAGTTTTTTATGTTTTACGTTTTTTACAGCTGTGCTACAGAAGCAACCCCAGCATTATAGACAAACTGCTTCAGGAAGGGCATCAGGAGTACAGAGTTTTTTGCTTTTATAGTGGAATTTTGTAAAAAGTATAATAGTTAGAGATTCAATTTTTTTCCCCATTATCCCCAAGACCATAAATAACATTTCTATGCAGTGTAAAAAGTTGTTTATAGCATTTCATTGTGTTTTTTCAATACATTTTTGTTAAATTGATTTTCCGTTTGATTTTTTTCTTTGTCTTTATGATTCCATCATTTTTATGTAATTCATATGACAGCTTTACAATATGAATATTCTAAAACCCCAGGTTGTACTGAAAAAAACAAAGTATACTGCTTGACTCTGCATCAAAAGATGACTGTTTTATGAACAATTATACACAAAGAAAACCAGGCGAGGAAAGTTCCCCAAAATGACCCATGTGCATAGAGGGTTAAACAGAACCCTGAGACTATCAAAGAGCAGGTGCATTTATACGGAGACTTGATTACACACAGGTGCATTCTATTTATCATCATCAGTCATTTAGGACAACATTGGATCATTCAAAGATCCTCACTGAACTTCTGGACTGAGTTTGCTGCACTGAAAGTAAAGGGGCCCAATAATATTGCACGCCCCACTTTTCAGTTTTTTATTTGTTAAAGTTTAAATTATCCAATAAATTTCGTTCCACTTCACGATTGTGTTCCACTGGTTGTTGATTCATGACAAAAAATTACATTTTTATATCTTTATGTTTGAAGACTGAAATGTGGCGAAATGTTGAAAGGTTCAAGGGGGGCCGAATACTTTCGCAAGGCACTGTATATATAATATATTTATGTTCCCTTTACTCACCCTCCGTGGGCGGTTATCCCTCTCTAAGCTCGGGTCCTCTACCAGAGGCCTGGGAGCTTGAGGGTTCTGTGCAGTATCTTTGCTGTTCCTAGCTCTGCACATTTCTGGACTGAGATGTCCGAGGTTGTTCCAGGGATCCGCTGTAACCTCTTCTAGCTTCGGGGTCACTGCCCCGAGTGCACCAATCACCACGGGCACTACTGTCACCTTTACCCACCAGGCCCTCTCACTACTGTGACCTTTACCCTCCAGGCCCTCTCACTACTGTGACCTTTACCCTCCAGGCCCTCTCACTACTGTGACCTTTACCCTCCAGGCCCTCTCACTACTGTGACCTTTACCCTCCAGGCCCTCTCCAGCTCCTCTCTGAGACCTTGGTATTTCTCAAGCTTTTCATGTTCTTTTTTCCGGATGTTACCATCGCTTGGAATTGCCACGTCCACACCACGGCTGTCCTCTGCCCTTTGTCCACCACCACGGCTGTCCTCTGCCCTTTGTCCACCACCACGGCTGTCCTCTGCCCTTTGTCCACCACCACGGCTGTCCTCTGCCCTTTGTCCACCACCACGGCTGTCCTCTGCCCTTTGTCTACCACCACGGCTGTCCTCTGCCCTTTGTCTACCACCACGGCTGTCCTCTGCCCTTTGTCCACCACCACGGCTGTCCTCTGTCCTTTGTCCACCACCACGGCTGTCCTCTGCCCTTTGTCCACCACCACGGCTGTCCTCTGCCCTTTGTCCACCACCACGGCTGTCCTCTGTCCTTTGTCCACCACCACGGCTGTCCTCTGCCCTTTGTCCACCACCACGGCTGTCCTCTGCCCTTTGTCCACCACCACGGCTGTCCTCTGCCCTTTGTCCACCACCACGGCTGTCCTCTGCCCTTTGTCCACCACCACGGCTGTCCTCTGCCCTTTGTCCACCACTACGGCTGTCCTCTGCCCTTTGTCCACCACCACGGCTGTCCTCTGCCCTTTGTCCACCACCACGGCTGTCCTCTGTCCTTTGTCCACCACCACGGCTGTCCTCTGCCCTTTGTCCACCACCACGGCTGTCCTCTGTCCTTTGTCCACCACCACGGCTGTCCTCTGCCCTTTGTCCACCACCACGGCTGTCCTCTGTCCTTTGTCCACCACCACGGCTGTCCTCTGCCCTTTGTCCACCACCACGGCTGTCCTCTGCCCTTTGTCCACCACCACGGCTGTCCTCTGCCCTTTGTCCACCACCACGGCTGTCCTCTGCCCTTTGTCCACCACCACGGCTGTCCTCTGTCCTTTGTCCACCACCACGGCTGTCCTCTGTCCTTTGTCCACCACCACGGCTGTCCTCTGCCCTTTGTCCACCACCACGGCTGTCCTCTGCCCTTTGTCCACCACCACGGCTGTCCTCTGTCCTTTGTCCACCACCACGGCTGTCCTCTGCCCTTTGTCTACCACCACGATGTCTGGTTGGTTCGTTACCATTCAGTTGGTCTGTAGATCTGGCTACATCCCAGGATCTCTGCCCACTCATTGCCCACCACCTTGGGAGGAGTTTCCCATTTAGACCTGACTGAACTTGTCCTGGCTCCTCTTTGCGGCTGTAGCATTTTTTCATCGCTAATACGTTTGTCAAGGATAGTTGTAATTTTACTCTTAAAACATTTAAGGAGGTCAACACTGCATAGAGAAATCGGTACTCTAGGCTCCATTACGTTGTGGTAGTTTAAGTTTGGCTACAGTGCTGATCACAAATCTGACTTTGGTTGAAACTTTAGTGACATGTTTCTGTTTGTTTCCAGCCTTCAGCAAAGTGTGCTGTCGCTGCGGCGCTGAGTATAAAGTCAACACCAGCGGAAGCTGCGTGCGGAAAGAGGAGTGCACCTTCCACTGGGGACGCTTACGCAGGCACAAAGGTTCTAAAGTTCATTTTGTCTGCTTTTGACTTTTTACTACTTAAGTTCATATTGAAAGGCAACTACTGGTTACTAGGTATTTAAAGAACATCCCAACCAGTAGTCTTCTTTCCATAAGAACTTAACAAGAACATGCATTTATTTAACATTAAAAGCTAAAACCACTGTCGAGCACAGATGAGTATTGGACTGAATTTCTAAACGTGTCTTGGCCTACAGTGTAATAACTGCCTTCTGGTTTATTTGTGTCAGTTTCTGGAGGTTGGGAGACAAGCTACAGCTGCTGCTCGGGGGCGGTCGGCGCTCTGGGATGCCAGACTTCTAAGGTCTAGGATCTTTCTTTTGTCAATTTCTGCGTTTTCCTGGACTGCCATCTCAATTGTTATTTTTTGGGGTATTTTGATTCTTTGCAGCAACACGTTCAAGACGGACGTAAAGAGTCCTTTGAGGGCTTTGTGAGCACTTTCAGTAAATCCCTGCCTGCGGACGGCAACGCTGGAGTGTTTGCCTTGGACTGTGAGATGGTGAGTTTGTGTCTAAAGGTCTTGATATCAGCATTTATGGAGCTAAAACAACTCCAGGTCTGAGAAAAGCATAAAAAGTCTGCCATAGAAACTCTGTTATATTAAATATCCTTTAGGGGCAGCATGGTGCCCGAGTGGATAGCACTTCTGCTTCTCAGCACTAAGGTCCTGGGTTCGAATCCCAGTCAAAACAGGGCCTTTCTGAGTTGAGTTTGCAGCAATTGTAGCCATTGTTTTATAACATTGTTAAGGGTTAGGGTTAAAATGTTAAAAAAAGACTACTCTAAGATACTTCAAGGTCCATTTACTTACAAAAGTGCTCCTTTGTCAAACGATGTAATCTGTCCTTAACTGAAACATAAGTTGCTGTTGTGGCAGTGAAAGGCCTTGTTTCATTAAATGATGAGTATATTGTATTTTTCAGTGTTACACAAAGCAGGGCCTGGAGCTCACCCGGGTGACGGTCATCGACTCGCAGTTCCAAGTCATCTACGACACGTTCGTCAAGCCTGCCAGTAAAGTTGTGGACTATAACACCAGGTGAAAAAACTGTTCTGTTCTTTTCACACAGTGATGGGACCGACTGCTGTGATCTTAAGAATGCAAGCTTTCTCCATGATTTGCCAGAGCCATTTCGAATTTTGTTATTATCTATTTAGAACAACCCCTAAAATCGATCCCTATGGAGCTACTTTTACAAGCCCTAGGAAAACCCCAGAGTGATGAGATTTGACCGTGGTCAGTTATTGTAAAAGTAGATCTCCAAAAAAGTTTGATACTGCTGCTTTATCCCTCTCTGCTCTATAGATTTTTTTAAATGTTCTCTACAATCTCCCTACTGTGACTTTCAATCTGTCGATACCCCATATACACTCACCGGCCATTATACAATACAATGTATTCTTGTATAGCCCTAGGTCACAACAGAAGTCATCTCAGAGACTTAACAAAACCATTGAAATCACCGACACAGGTCAGAGAATCAACAGTTAAAACACATGAAGAATATAAAGCACACACAGAAGAAAATGTCCATACATTTTGTAGAATGCTAAAGTGTCCTGATCATCACCAATCCTTTCTGTTGGACACTAACTGTCCAACAAGACCCTCCTGCATCGACAAGGAACAACTCTTGAAAAACCCAGTGGGAAAAAGTGAGAAACCTTGGGGAGAACTAGGGAAACCCACAGGGAGGGAGACCCATATGAGAAAGGGATCCGCTCCTCCGGTACACCTATCCAACTCCACTTTAATGCAAATTCCTAATCAGCCAATCACATGGCAGCAACTTAATGCATTTAGGCTGTAGACATGGTCAAGACGATCTGCTGCAGTTCAAACCGAGCATCAGAATAAGATAAGATGATCTCACATTGGATAAATGTACATGTCACATCTGGCAGAGAGAGAATCACTCAGATTGTGCAAAAGACAGAAGTGTGCAAACATGCTAAAGGCAAAAAATATAGTCTGTTTAGGATATATTATGTACAATAAAAAAGTGGCAATTAAAGAAACGGTGTCGATAGTAGTGCAGGTTTTTAGTCCTATTGCAAGTGACTTAAAGTGGTTCTCACCCCCGCTCCTCGGAGCTTACGTCACTCACATTTCCTGTTCAAATCTTCCTCTAAATGGGCGTAGCCTGGAGGACTAAAGGGGGCGTGAACGAGACTGGGCCGTTTACATTGCTCTGGGCGGGGGGCTGCTGACGTCAGGTCCAACTTCTGTGCCAGTGTTGGCACCAGATTCAAAATTCAAATGTAGTAATACAGGTCGCCAGCAGATGGCGCCTCACAGACGGTTTTAGGCAGAAAGTTTAACTTTCAACTAATTTGCACCAAAGTGACAAGATTATGACCAGGATATGTAGACAACACTATTGGACACTCATTTATACTGTTTATCAGCAAAAAAAGTGGATTTGAGGGTGAGTTGTCCTTTTAAAGTGACTTATTGTACAGTCTGACAGCCTTGATCTTTCAGTGGGGGCTTCAGACAAAGTGGGGTAAGTGTCTTGCCCAAGGACACAACAACAGCAGACATCTGTGGGAGTGGAGAAGTAGGTCTCGACTCCTAGATGTCTTCAGATGTCGGCTTGAACCCACGACCTTCAGGCCCAAAGGCCAATGCTCTACCAACTGAGCCACTGTCGCCCTGTGACCAACCAATGACATGTGTGTGTTTATTGCATTTCCTGTGTTCAAATTGCTTGATTCTCTTATCTGCAAAGTGGTCGACTCGCCAACATCAACATCCTCTGAGACGGGACACTGTTGTGATTCTGGGCTTCATAATATTGAACATGAATAAACTAGCATTGTCCTGGTGCATCCCTGATAGATGTTTTTGTACCCCCACATAATGACATATTGTTTTTGCTGCATCCTTATTGTCTGCATAAGCGTCTGAGTGTTATGGTTGGTGCTTCAGGTTCTCTGGGGTGACGGAGGAGGACCTGAGGGACGTCAGCATCACTCTCAGAGACGTCCAGGCTGTTCTGCTCAGCATGTTCAGTGCAGAGTCCATCCTGCTGGGGCACAGTCTGGAGAGCGACCTGATGGCTCTCAAGGTACGCTGGAGAAACACTGATCAAACTGACCTGCTGAATTGTGTTGATTTCAAACTTGACAGCCCTGGGTCATTTTGAGCCTTTAAGACCCTAATTTAGGCTATTTTTGTGGCCATATTTGCATGCAAAAACCAGATCCTGTCAGACCTTTGAGGCTCTGCAGGGTAGGGCCTGGTTAGTGCTGTGATGGGAGACCTCACCAGGTGCCACTGTGGGGTGGCTGTGGCTGTAAAGTGCTAAACTGTTGTTGTGTTCTTAGGCCTAGATTGGCCAAGAATGAGCCTGGTGTGTGCGATACTGGTTGGTGGCAGTGGTGGTGGGAGGGGCCGATGGCACAGACTGGTTGCTTCGCTTCTATCAGTGTGCCCCAAGGCAGCTGTGGCTACAGTAGTAGTTTATCATTACTGTGTATGGAGTGAACATGGCTTATTATTGTTGTATGTTGTTCCTAAAGTATGAGGGTGCTTTATAGACGGGTCGGCCCTGAGTAAGAGTGTGCGTGTGCTTCCAGCTGATCCACAGCTCTGTGGTGGACACGGCCATCGTGTTCCCCCATCGCCTGGGACTGCCCTACAAACGAGCTCTGAGAAACCTGATGGCCGACCACCTCAAACGCATCATCCAGGACAGCGGTGAGCCAAAGCACTATTCTTTCATATACTGCTTTGTTAATTACTGTTTAAAGAGAGGCATCATGCATGTAAGGGCGGGGCAAAGAATCTCTCCGGACTATAAGCCGCACCTGATTATAAAACATAGGTTCCAATTTTTAGGAAGAAATTAAAAGTTGTACTTGTACTACGCACGCTGGATTATAAACCGCAACCATTCCACGTTGTAATATTGAAAAATGTTTCTCAAAAACATTGATTATGTCTCTGACTTCGTAATCTTCCAGTGTCCAGCAGAAAGATAAGCAGCAACATTTACCGCTTCTCTTTTCACTTTCATGTCTATGCAGAGAACCAAAAAACAATTTATTATGAGATAATTACAGAAAGATGGTGGTGGTGGGAGGGGCTGATGGCACAGACTGGTTGCCTCGCTTCTGTCAGTGTGCCCCAGGGCAGCTGTGGCTACAGTAGTAGTTTATCACCACCGTGTTTGGAGTGAATGAATAATGATGTAAAGCGTCTGAGTGTCCAAAAAAGCGCTGTGTAAAACCAGTGTGGGCGGGTCCCGGCTCAGAAGTGGCCAAAATGACGTGCGCTGACATGCTGCAGTACCACCCCGGGCCTGTGGGGGTGGACCTGGAATAAGAATTAGCCAATGCTAACATATAGCATTAGCTGACCTCTGGAAAACGTCTTTACAGGATGGTCCAAAAGTGGCTCTTGGCCCAAAGCTCCGTTCCACATGTGTGTCAATGCTGAGTGTTCTGGACCAGTCTAGTTTAGTCGATGTGGACTTTAGAAGTCTCTCGTTTTAAATGAATGGAGCTCGTGCAGCTGACGCATGCACAGATGCGTTTTTTCACATTTTCCAGCCCCCACAGCCATTTTGAATCATTCCATGAGAGCCCAATTTTTGGCCCATTAGTTAGAACGGCGGAGATAGGCGTGACTATGGCCGATTAAATATGTACAGTCTATGTATAAAACAATGCATTATTATTATTATTATTAAGACATTATATGTGAGGATTTTTTCTTTAATCTCTTTGCTAACAAACAAATACACATTGCTAATGTTTTTTTTCTAACCGGTGCCTGTAACCTTTAAGCACTGTATACTGTATGTTTGTATTGGTAACACGCAAAGTAGGTTCCTTATACGCCGCATCATCTGCTTTCATCTGGTTTATCCTTGTAGACGAAGGTACAAAGGACTGGACATCATACAATTTAATTAGACCTCTGTGAACGACTCATCAATTCAAGTTTAAACTATAATTGATTCAAATCTATTTTTTGCATAACTTCTAAACATGATACAACATTGTTCCTCGTCCAAAGCAGACTTTGTTTAAGCTCCATCCACTATAAGTCTCAATGAAACTATGTTTCATGTTTTATTTCAATTATTCTACTGCTTTATGAGAGTATTGCTCTCTCGAATTATTAATTCAAGATTATATCAACGTTATTTTACTCAAAACAAGCGTCCAGACTTCTGATCCACGATAGTTGAACATTCTCTTTAATTGCTGTAATCTCCAGCTTTGCTCACAGTACGGCAATTATTTCAATACTCTGAAACGCACCTGATTAATTTATAACTCTGCTGTGCCGTTGGGATTTCATATTGGAAAAGTGATTCTTGCAGTACTGCCGTCATACCAGCAGAGGTCGCAGTTTTAGTACCACTGATATGACAACAATAGTGACGTCACATTCACTTAAGGAGGGAAGAAGTCCTCCTCAAGATTCTGTCCCAAGCCCCGGCGATCCAAGATGGCGCCCTATTCAAATGAATGGTTGTGCTCAGTGGCGCTTTGTGACGGCATGGGGGCTGAAAAGATTAGCGGAAGTCGCCTGAAACTCTCAAAGATCTATGGGAAACTCTCAAAGATCTATGGGAAACTCTCAAAGATCTATGGGAAACTCTCAAAGATCTATGGGAAACTCTCAAAGATCTATGGGAAACTCTCAAAGATCTATGGGAAACTCTCAAAGATCTATGGGAAACTCTCAAAGATCTATGGGAAACTCTCAAAGATCTATGGGAAACTCTCAAAGATCTATGGGAAACTCTCAAAGATCTATGGAAACTCTCAAAGATCTATGGAAACTCTCAAAGATCTATGGGAAACTCTCAAAGATCTATGGGAAACTCTCAAAGATCTATGGGAAACTCTCAAAGATCTATGAGAAACTCTCAAAGATCTATGGGAAACTCTCAAAGATCTATGGGAAACTCTCAAAGGTCTATGGGAAACTCTCAAAGATCTATGGGAAACTCTCAAAGATCTATGGGAAACTCTCAAAGGTCTATGGGAAACTCTCAAAGATCTATGAAACTCTCAAAGATCTATGGGAAACTCTCAAAGATCTATGGGAAACTCTCAAAGGTCTATGGGAAACTCTCAAAGATCTATGGGAAACTCTCAAAGATCTATGGGAAACTCTCAAAGATCTATGGGAAACTCGCCTGTATTTGGGCATCGTCTGGTCCTCCCGGTTCTGCGCAGTGGATGATCTCCCATAATGCTTTGCACAAACACGCGTGTGTGGGTCTCACACCGGGTCTCACGCACGTGCACAGAGGGTCTCACGCACGTGCACAGAGGGTCTCACGCACGTGCACAGAGGGTCTCACGCACGTGCACAGAGGGGCTCACGCACGTGCACAGAGGGGCTCGGCTCTGACCAATCAGAGCAGTTCATCAGAGCGGGAGTTAGAGCCAGAGCCAGACGAGCAGAGTTTGTGGCACTAAAGTGTGGATTTAAACAAAACCGAAGGATTTAAGAAGAAAAAAAGTTCAGGACGACAAGGGACACTAACATCCCCACAAAATCTGACCTTTATGAAAGCTGTAGGTTCTCTGTCAGGTTCTCTGTCAGGTTCTCTGTCAGGTTCTCTGTCAGGTTCTCTGACAGGTTCTCTGACAGGTTCTCTGTCAGGTTCTCTGTCAGGTTCTCTGTCAGGTTCTCTGTAGGTTCTCTGTCAGGTTCTCTGTCAGGTTCTCTGTCAGGTTCTCTGTCAGGTTCTCTGTCAGGTTCTCTGACAGGTTCTCTGACAGGTTCTCTGTCAGGTTCTCTGTCAGGTTCTCTGTCAGGTTCTCTGTCAGCTGAGGTTGAGCTGTTTTAATATGCATTGAGTTTTATGGGGAACATTTCTGGGTAGCCCACGTGAATTTAGTCTGGTTCAGTCTGGTTCAGTCTGCAGTACCGCGAGAATCCCCTGAGCACATGAGTTATTCAGCTACAAGCTAGTAATACCCTATCCAGTTATTATAATACATCCATGTTCTGTCCTCACAAAACTCACATCAGTGCTGTTTTTTAACATGTTTTTAAATAGAATCATGTTTTTAGATGTTTTTATGAATCCATTCAGCACCGTTCCAAAGGTCAGCTCCGCGCACTGAGACTCACATTGACTTAAGGCAAATAATAAATCTAAATCACAGCTGTATTTGTTTCCAGTGGGCGGTCACGACTCGAGCGAAGACGCCTCCGCCTGCATGGAGCTGATGATCTGGAAGATTAAGGAAGACGCCAAAGTGAAGAGATGACAGTAAAAGACCGCCATCGATACAAGATGGCTGCAGTTAGTGCGTAAACTGAACGGACAGTGTGCGTCGAGCAGCGGCTTCGCGGAGCAATAGGAAACACGTGGCTTTGTTCTCGTACAGGGTTTTAGACTCTTTTTACAGAAGAGCTGCAATTGTAAGAATTCAGTTATTTTTGCTACGTACATTTGTGTTTCTATCAACAGTATTTTCCTTGTTTTTGCTCCATTGTTTATGTCCTTAGAGATGAGAGTTTATTTATTTTTTTATTTGTGACTGTCAACTTTGCCACTCATCTAGTTTTCTGATAAATGGCCGGATAAGTGTTTTTGTAAATACATAATATTAGAATCCTATCGTATCAATGTAGCCCCTCCATCTCCGAGGCAAAGGACCCCCATGTTATAGAATCCAACACTTAATTTGAAGGAGCCAGTCGAGATCAAATAATTTGGGAGAATGTGGCGTTGGATGTTGTGACGTGATTTTCTATTCAAGGAACAATACAAACTATTGAAATATGAACATTCTGAAGGTGGTTTATCTTATGGAAGAGAAAGGAGACAGCACTATGTTCCCCAGGCTCAGCAATTTACAAGACAACACGTTTTTTAATCATGTTCCGACAATATTTAATCATAAAAAACCAAATCTGTAGTTGTTAGCTACACTCACACTTGTATTAGGAGCTTGGTACAAAAGTATCTCCTTCTGTAGAAACAGCACTTCTTCCCCCTAATTTCATCTACAAAGTGTTTGGAAACGTTTGGCCACAATTACTTTTCACATTCTAAAAAACATGAAGTGACACAGTATAAAACAATTTTAATATCTCACATTTGTCCTGATTTGAGTGGACCATAGTTACCATAAGGTTATCACCACCACAGGTCAAAGCTGCGGTTCCTAATTGTAAAATCACAAAGTCACAAAAACAAAACTCCATCGAACTTTCTACAAGCTTGTTCTCACGTGCATGTATTGTTGCCTCTTTAGCTTTTTCAGAGAGAAAACTGAAAAAAGAGACCACCCTCATTCAGCCCATCAGCTCTTAGCCCAATGAGTCAAATAGTGACTCCCAGGACAGGTCTAAAAAAGTTGGGTAGCCCATCTTTAATTCTTACTTTTGAACAGAGATGTTGGATTTTCTTGTGTTTCTTCTTGAACTGGTCTTGCTTACTGACTTTTGCACTAAAGAGACGCTCTCGTCGTTTAGGGCTTTCTCTGAGTTACCTCAAGTGTGTTCAATGCTTTGTTTGTACACTTCTTACTGTATAATATCATGCTAACTTTTGTTTTGCTTTTCGTTGCCTTTCAAATCCACAATCTTGAATACTTGATGACATTCTGGATGATATGTACAGTCTGTTTGGATTAGCACCTGTTGAAATATATTTACAGTCAACGAACACACGGTCTCCTCCATGTTTGATGCTTTCTGCGTTATGGTGCTTTCAGACCGGATCATGCTGCGTCTGTTTCAATGCAAAGTCTATGATGACGCGTGTTCGACCGTCACAACGCACGGACTGCTCGGTTCGCGCGAACGGACTGTTCAGTAGAGACGCACGGACTGTTCAGTAGAGACGCACGGACTGTTCTGTAGAGACGCACGGACTGTTCAGTAGAGACGCACGGACTGTTCAGTAGAGACGCACGGACTGCTCTGTAGAGACGCACGGACTGCTCAGTAGAGACGCACGGACTGTTCTGTAGAGACGCACGGACTGTTCAGTAGAGACGCACGGACTGTTCTGTAGAGACGCACGGACTGTTCAGTAGAGACGCACGGACTGTTCTGTAGAGACGCACGGACTGCTCTGTAGAGACGCACGGACTGTTCAGTAGAGACGCACGGACTGTTCAGTAGAGACGCACGGACTGTTCAGTAGAGACGCACGGACTGTTCAGTAGAGACGCACGGACTGTTCAGTAGACACGCACGGACTGTTCTGTAGAGACGCACGGACTGTTCAGTAGAGACGCACGGACTGTTCAGTAGAGACGCACGGACTGTTCTGTAGAGACGCACGGACTGTTCTGTAGAGACGCACGGACTGTTCTGTAGAGACGCACGGACTGTTCTGTAGAGACGCACGGACTGCTCTGTAGAGACGCACGGACTGCTCAGTAGAGACGCACGGACTGTTCTGTAGAGACGCACGGACTGTTCAGTAGAGACGCACGGACTGTTCTGTAGAGACGCACGGACTGTTCTGTAGAGACGCACGGACTGTTCAGTAGACACGCACGGACTGTTCTGTAGAGACGCACGGACTGTTCTGTAGAGACACACGGACTGTTCAGTAGAGACACACGGACTGTTCAGTAGAGACGCACGGACTGTTCTGTAGAGACACACGGACTGTTCTGTAGACACGCACAGGCTGTTCAGTAGAGACGCACGGACTGTTCAGTAGAGACGCACGGACTGTTCTGTAGACACGCACGGACTGTTCAGTAGAGACACACGGACTGTTCAGTAGAGACGCACGGACTGCTCAGTAGAGACGCACGGACTGTTCTGTAGAGACACACGGACTGTTCAGTAGAGACACACGGACTGTTCAGTAGAGACACACGGACTGTTCTGTAGACACGCACGGACTGTTCAGTAGAGACGCACGGACTGTTCAGTAGAGACGCACGGACTGTTCAGTAGAGACACACGGACTGTTCTGTAGAGACGCACGGACTGTTCAGTAGAGACACACGGACTGTTCAGTAGAGACACACGGACTGTTCAGTAGAGACACACGGACTGTTCAGTAGAGACGCACGGACTGTTCAGTAGAGACACACGGACTGTTCAGTAGAGACACACGGACTGTTCAGTAGAGACGCACGGACTGTTCTGTAGAGACGCACGGACTGTTCTGTAGAGACACACGGACTGTTCTGTAGACTCGCACGGACTTGGCGGGAAAGTGAGGGAGGAGCAGGAGCGAAAAATCAACGCCCACAGGAGATGGATTCTGCTCATCCTTTCCTTGGGACGTTCGTGCGACAACCAATCAGAGAGCAGCAAAGTGGTCACGGGGACATTAGCGGACTGAGCGAGCAGACTGAAAATACTGTAAACAGCCAAAACAGGACCCACACCAGACTTCACCAGAACTCAAACCAGGGCTGACAATGGGGGACTCTGTGCTTGTGAAAATATGTGTTGTCATGCTCCTGTGACTTTATGCAACTGCTTCAAGTGTGTTCGCCGATGCGGAAATACTGTTTAATAATATGAATAAACGTATGGAGCACCTCCGTGAACACATACTGCAGTTATATAAAGTCACTGTGAACACATACTGCTGTTATATAAAGTCACCTGCATGAGCACATACTGCTGTTATATAAAGTCACCTCCGTGAACACATACTGCTGTTATATAAAGTCACCTCCGTGAACACATACTGCTGTTATATAAAGTCACCTCCGTGAACACATACTGCTGTTATATAAAGTCACCTCCGTGAACACATACTACTGTTATATAAAGTCACCTCCGTGAACACATACTGCTGTTATATAAAGTCACCTCCGTGAACACATACTGCTGTTATATAAAGTCACCTCCGTGAACACATACTGCTGTTATATAAAGTCACCTCCGTGAACACATACTGCTGTTATATAAAGTCACCTCCTTGAACACATACTGCTGTTATATAAAGTCACCTCCGTGAACACATACTGCTTTTATATACAGTCACCTCCGTGAACACATACTGCTGTTATATAAAGTCACCGTGAACACATACTGCTGTTATATAAAGTCACCGTGAACACATACTGCTGTTATATAAAGTCACCTCCGTGAACACATACTGCTGTTATATAAAGTCACCTCCGTGAACACATACTGCTGTTATATAAAGTCACCTCCGTGAACACATACTGCTGTTATATAAAGTCACCTCCGTGAACACATACTGCTGTTGATAAAGTCACCTCCGTGAACACATACTGCTGTTATATAAAGTCACCTCCGTGAACACATACTGCTGTTATATAAAGTCACCTCCGTGAACACATACTGCTGTTATATAAAGTCACCTCCGTGAACACATACTGCTGTTATATAAAGTCACCTCCGTGAACACATACTGCTGTTATATAAAGTCACCTCCGTGAACACATACTGCTGTTATATAAAGTCACCGTGAACACATACTGCTGTTATATAAAGCCCGTGGAAAGTCTCTGTTCAAAGACTCGCTGCAAAGCTACATATTGGAGAAGATCTGTGCACAAGAAGCCGCTAGCATAGCTCTGTTAGCATTAGAGCCGGCTACTTCCGGTACTTCCGGCTCGCGTCAGGACGTTCTGGTGTGAAGACCTCTGCGTCTGAAAACTAGAGAATGCGCGTCTGGTGAGCGGGGCTTCCGCGTTTCAGCGTTTTCGGTCTGAAAGCCCCAAAAGGGGAGGAGAAGGAGCGGACAATGAACGCCCACAGGAGATGGATCCCGCTCAACTTTTCCTCGAGATGTTCGTGCAGCGACCAATCAGAGAGCACGCACACCACTGACGTAATCACGCCACTACACAGCGTATATTTTCCCCATTGTGAGCCAGGAACCGGTCATTTAAACACGCCATTGCGCAGCAGCTCAACCTCCCTGGTAAGTTTTTTGAGTATCATTCATTCGTAAATTGGTTCTTGTTTATGCTAGTTTTTCGAGGGGAAATTCTGACTAGTATCTGATTCTTTGCAGTCGAATTTTGCAAGAAGCAAAAGGAAAAAAGACGTGCAGAGGAGTGGCTCTGCAGCGGGGACCGCGAAGTGGAGGTAGGCAAGTGCCCTTTCGTTCCTCGACCCTCCCATTACCCCGCGCCCCACCACCAGCAATATGGGTAGGGTGGAGGAAGGACCCCCTGTCGATGAGGCCTCTGCGCGACCTGAAGGTTTGTACTGGGTTGAAATGGGGACATTTGACTATATGAAATTTATATCACGTCATGCTATACAATGGCCATATCTGCAATGGTATTGCTTTCTGTAATTCAAGTTTTTATAGAAGTTTTTCTTCTCTATATATTACATTACATACATTGTATACTTTCAGACAACTGCTATGTTTACTAAAATGACAATGCATTTACAGAAGACATGAGGGTGTCATCTCCTGCGTCGGGGACATCCAACGCCACTATCCCTGCCTCTCCCTACCACCCAAGGCTTCTGTTCCCCCAGGAAACACCTCCAGGTTAGCATCACATATCATATACTTGGTGACCTACTTCACGTCTGCGACCAGTTATATCTGTTGTCCGTAGTGTGCAATTTCTAAAGATGTATTTCCTCCTGTTCAACAGAGCCAAAACGGAAGAGGAGCAAGAAGGCTGATCCTCAAATATCGCCTTATGAGAGAGAGCTGCTCTCTGCACTCCAGCAGAACTCTCAGGGCTCACCACAGAAATCAGAGGATCAGCTGTTTGCGGACAGTCTGGTCCCTCTATTGGGGAAATTGGAGCCCCATGCCCGTTACAGAATCAAACGGAGGTTTTCGAACATCATCTACAAGGAACTTGCAGAAAAGGAAAATGCGCCACCATCCAATGTGCAGGGATAGCCATGTGACCTCACTCCATGCAATTGTATATATGTAAATAAAAGTGTTGTGTGAATCTCTTGTGTCTATGTAGATACATTTCCTAGGTTCTTTTTAGTCTTGTCATTAAGAGGCGTAGTTGTAGAAGAACCATACATTACAGAATAAATGAGCAGATAGAAAATTTACTTTGGCCCCTCCTTTACAGCATATAGATTGGCATATTGACATTATAGAATTCTCCACAGCTCTGAGAATGTATAAGGCGAGTACAAACATTTTCTAGTTTGTTTCAGCCCTTAGCACCGGGTTGATGAGGGAACAAGGTTTGTTCAATGTTTGCATTACTTTCTCTTGTCTCTGTGATATGCTACGGTTGTTTACTGTTGTATGCTACATTGGTCACTAGATGGCGTGAAAACGGCCCTAAATCAAGGGTCGTTTTAAACAGTTTAATTACACTGTATTATGATTTAGCAAGTAAGGATAAGGGAACAGCAACTTCACATTGTAGAATTCTCCAAAGCTCAGGTAATATAAGGCGCATACTAACATGTTACCAAATTAAAGTACAGAGGAATGTCTTTATATGACGATAACAAATGTTGAGGGCCCAATGTTAATATCTGCCATACTCGCACAAACAGTAAGGGTTTTAGTAATATCAATTGGAGTACTAGGGAACCAAAATAATATTCTGAACTCACCTATCCATCCATCCATCCATAAAGTTTATTTACATGATCGCAGTTTCTAATATTTAAAATTCATACTCTGTCTTTAATGTGGTGTGTGTTAAACAGAGTATTTCTCATGCACAATATTCTCTATGACTCTGTGCACGAGAAAAGGTACGAATGGACTAATCAAAGTATGTGGTACTTTATTTTCCACTAGTGAACCATTCAATTCCAAAGCTAAATGTCTGATTTGACATTGCCTATAATTGGGGCTGAATAAGAAGGATCATAGAGTAACGTTTCAAAACAAAACTAGGTACTATGAACAACTTTTAACTTGACTTCACGTCTCGTTAGCTGTAAGTGTTTACCTAAAGCATTTTAAATTAAAACATACATTAAACAGAAACAACACTTCAAGTAAGGCAAAAATTTATTAGCGCTAACAAAATGGTGACAAAGAACAGAAATGCAGTCAGTTTCTTTCAGGGAAACCTGGCTATGTGCGTTGCCAGTGCACTGCTCCTTCCTCTGTGAAATGGGCTTTGAAAACCTCCCTCACTCTCAACGCCGCTCTGGCAGCATATTTGGCTCCGATACGACCTAGATCAGGAAGTGGGTCGGGTGCTGCAGGTCCTGCCTGCGGAGGAGCTGCCATTTCCGCTGACGGCCGCATGAAGTTGTGAAGGACACAGGTTGCCTTAACACACTTCTCCACAACTTCGGGACGGATTTCCAGCTCCCGATGGAACATCCTCCACTGGGACGTCCAAATCCCAAACGCATCTTCCACTACCAGTCGAGCCCTGGAGAGGCGGTAGTTAAAGGATGTTGCTTTCAGGGGGAAGACCGCCACGGCCGGGATAGGGACGCATCATGTGCCGCTGCAGTGGAGCGCCAGTCGTCTGTGGTGGGAACCGCCATGAACTCCTCCACCAGAGAGTCCCAGATGGCCGTAACTACCTCGGGGACGACTTTGGAGACAGTGGACACACCGACCCTGAAGCTGCTCCCGATGGTAGTTTACGAATCCCCAGTGGCAAGGAACCTGATAAAATAAAAAGAAGACATTAATTGAATGTGCACATGGAGTGAGAGACAAATGTCCCATAACAATAAAAAGGTGCTTTGTGACTGGTCTGTGAAAGGCGCTATTTACATGAAGAATAGACACAGACACACACACACACAGACACACAGAGAGACAAGGAAACACAGACAGAAATAAACACACACAGACAGACTCGCTTCCACCCTCACCATGTGTGGAATGATTGGAACAATATCTGAACTCTGAACATTGTAAAGCGCTTTGGGTGACCTTGGTCTGTAGAATGTGCTATATAAATAGACATTACTTACTTATAAAGACACGCACAGAGACAAAGACACACACAAACAGACCGAACACACACACAGAGACAAAGACACACTCACATACACAATTACTGACCGTAGGCAGATGGAGAGGCGCTCTGCAGGAGAGATGGAACGTCTGTAGTTGGTGTCTTGGTGAGAGATTCGTGCACCTACGCGGCCCAACAGGTCATCGAACTGGGCCACCGTGAGACGGAAGTGCCGCTGAAATCGCACCTCATCCAGCCGCAGCTCTTGTAACAAATGGTGGAACTCGCCATACTCTGACCGTCTCTGGAGGATATCGTGAACCCAGACACTTGCTGCCTCGCCTGATCCGCCATCTTGTTGAGTTGTTGTGAATATGGAAAGCCCGCCCATACGCCTCACGCTTCCGGCGGAAGTGTAGTGAGGTGGGCGTGCTTGTGTTCGTGCATCGTTTGGCGGTGTGCAAGCCTCTGCGTCTGAAAACTAGAGAATGCGCGTCTGGTAAGCTGGGCTGCTGCGTTTCAGCGTTTTCGGTCTGAAAGCACCATTAGAAGGAAGAACCCGCTGCCATTAGTATTGAGACTTTGACTACTCGTTACAGTGATGCCTACAACTGTACATCAGCCACATATGGAAATGGGGAGAATGGAAAGAACAGATGAAGTGAACTTTCAGTCATACTGCATTGTGATTGTGCAGTGGTGGCGCCATCTGTTGGTGAAATGCAGATCTCGTCAGACCTCTGAAGCTGACCAGGGCCTGTATCGTGATGGGAGACCATTGGGAGCTCCAGGTGCAGTGGGTTGGCTGCGGCTGTAAAAGTTCAAACTGTTGGCTAGACACTTCACCCACATTGGCTGTTAATATGACCCCCCCATGTGAAGAAGACCCAGCTGCACCACCACATGTGCTGCTGCCATCATTCCCAGGAGTGATCTGAGCTCCTGCGCCGGGACCCTGAGAGAGGTGATGCTCTCGCGCCTGTCTGCGGGGAGCGAAGCACGGAACCAGACCGAGTCCAGTTGTAGGCTGAGGTAATCTATGCGGTGAACAGGTCATAACAGGCTCTTCTCCCCGTTCACAACAAAGCCCAACCGGTGGATGTGGGTCAGGACCAAGTGCGTGTGCGCTGTGGCCTACTCCCTGGATGGAGGCAGAATCAGCCAATCGTATGTAAGTCAGGATTCTGACTCCCCAGCGCCGCTTCCACGCATTTGGAGAATGTGCGAGGAGCCTGCCCAAATGGGAGGCGGCAATACTCTTAGCATTTTCCCTCTACTGTGAAGGCAAGCCGTGCAGCAGCGGAGAAGCAGACTCTTTGGGGGAGTCTGCTTCTATTAGAATATCCCCTACCCCCCTTCTTCCTCCTGCATAGGGCGGGCGGCGCTGGGTCCGATGCTCCTGGGGCTGAGTCCTTTGCCGCAGTGTCAGCCTGTCCACTAGCCTTTTCATGTCTAGGCCAAAGAGGGAAGCTTCTTCAAGACGTTGAAATGGGCAGATCCAACAGCTGCTTCTTCTCCGCCTCTTTCAAATCGGCGAGGCCCAGCCAGAGGTGGCGGGCACCGACCTGCGGCGCTGCCATGGAGCGGTCTCCATCAATGGCCAGCGCCTGGGCCATTCTGAGGAGTGCTGCAGAGGTGGTTCGCGCTTCACTCAGGTCCTCACTGCTCAGCTCCTGGCTGGCAGAGAGACTTGTCCAGGGCTCCGGTTATAAAAGCCATGTTGCTGGCCTACGCAACAACCTGAGCTGCGTTGGCATAACAGCCATCCAGCAGCGACATGGTCATCCTATCCCGCTCAGAGGGACCACTCATGGACAGAACAATAAGGCCCGTACCCAAGTGCTGGGTGCCTGGCCCCGAGGGGTTTGGGCCAATCACGAGTGGCGTAGTGGAAGATAGGGTCAATGCGTGGACACAGAACCGGCTCAAGGCGTCTGGGTCCACGATCCGAGGCTTCCGATGTAAAATCCTTCACCGTTTGTGGAGACTGTGACGGGAGAGGGATCTCCATCCTCCGGGAAGCGGAGTGAAAGAGCCTTGGCATATGATCGAGCAAAAAGCGGTCCTGCTTCTCGATCCAGGACAGGGCCTCACCCACTGACAAGGGAACTCCTCCATGCGGTCCTCCTCCATGTCACAGTCTCGCCAGTACTGACGGGGCGCAGGAGACCGACTACGTGCCGAGAAAATGCAAGAACAATATGTTGTGAGGTGGTCCTTCACTCAGTGTGTTGGGTATTCATACCTTCTACATGGAACCACCATTTGCTGCAATAACAACAATAAGACTTTTGGGGCATGGCTCTCGACTTTGCTCCATCCTCCTTCCCAGTTATTCTTACAATATTCCCACTCCCCGCCAGTGATGGGAATAACGGCATTGAAATAAACGTTACTAACGCTGTTACTTTTTTCAGTAACGAGTAATCTAGCTAATTACTTTGACTGTCACTATAACAAAGGATCCGCTAACGAGGAAGGACCCTCCCCATGCAAGCAACCAAACTTGACTGTAGTGCTCCCCAGAGACTCTCTCAGACAGAGCTCTGTGGCTTGTTAGGGTGATTCCGATATCAACAGTGGAGTCAAACACTATCGTGCACTTCATTCATCTGGCTTCTGAAACACGCTCTGAGAAGGTGGGGGCCGGGGGGGTTTACGGGGCGAGAAACAAAACTGTAACGCAATAGTTACTTTTACTGGTAACTAGTTACTTACAGTGGAGTAACTCAGTTAGTAACTCAGTTACTTTTTGGGAGAAGTAACTGGTAACTATAATTACTTTTTCAAAGTAACTTGCCCAACACTGATCCCCGCTGAAGAAAAGCAGCCTCGTACATGAAGCTCCCCCGACACTGGTGCAGCAGTGGTCAGTCAGGACACTGGTGCAGCGGTCAGTCAGGACACTGGTGCAGCGGTCAGTCAGGACACTGGTGCAGCAGTGGTCAGTCAGGACACTGGTGCAGCGGTCAGTCAGGACACTGGTGCAGCGGTCAGTCAGGACACTGGTGCAGAGGTCAGTCAGGACACTGGTGCAGAGGTCAGTCAGGACACTGGTGCAGCGGTCAGTCAGGACACTGGTGCAGTGGTCAGTCAGGACACTGGTGCAGCGGTCAGTCAGGACACTGGTGCAGCAGTGGTCAGTCAGGACACTGGTGCAGTGGTCAGTCAGGACACTGGTGCAGCGGTCAGTCAGGACACTGGTGCAGCAGTGGTCAGTCAGGACACTGGTGCAGGGGTCAGTCAGGACACTGGTGCAGCGGTCAGTCAGGACACTGGTGCAGAGGTCAGTCAGGACACTGGTGCAGCGGTCAGTCAGGACACTGGTGCAGCGGTCAGTCAGGACACTGGTGCAGCAGTGGTCAGTCAGGACACTGGTGCAGCAGTGGTCAGTCAGGACACTGGTGCAGAGGTCAGTCAGGACACTGGTGCAGTAGTCAGTCAGGACACTGGTGCAGCGGTCAGTCAGGACACTGGTGCAGCAGTGGTCAGTCAGGACACTGGTGCAGTGGTCAGTCAGGACACTGGTGCAGAGGTCAGTCAGGACACTGGTGCAGCGGTCAGTCAGGACACTGGTGCAGTGGTCAGTCAGGACACTGGTGCAGCGGTCAGTCAGGAGTCAGGACACTGGTGCAGCGGTCAGTCAGGACACTGGTGCAGTGGTCAGTCAGGACACTGGTGCAGCGGTCAGTCAGGACACTGGTGCAGCGGTCAGTCAGGACACTGGTGCAGCGGTGGTCAGTCAGGACACTGGTGCAGCGGTCAGTCAGGACACTGATGCAGCGGTCAGTCAGGACACTGGTGCAGCGGTCAGTCAGGACACTGGTGCAGCGGTCAGTCAGGATACTGGTGCAGCGGTCAGTCAGGACCATGAGCAGTGTTGGGTTTGGGCCATATGTAACAGTTTGTGTCATTTGACCAAAGCACCTTCTTCCATAGTGCAGTTGTGTCGCCTGTTTCACTTCTGCCAAACTTCAAACAACAAGCTTCAAATGAAGGTTTTTTTTCTCCATAAAGACCATAGTGTTCCCATGTACAGATCCCCCCACACAGTACTTCGCAGCTCTTCAAGAGTCATGTCATGGCCTCTCTTTAATCATGAGGAATGTGTTAAAGACAATTTAATGCACTCCGAAAAAAATATTTATATTGTACTTTTCTATTTTAAATATAATAACAGAATCCTGTATCATTTATTTTCTCGTCACAGTTGTCTGTTACTTGGGTGTGAACTTGTGAAAAATTCTACATATTTTGTTTGTTTTGAACATAAAAAATGTGCCAAATATCAAGCTATATTAATACTTATGCAAGGCGCTGTATCTCATCTGAAAACTCCCTTACTTTCATTATTTCATTTTTCCCCCCATCACATGTGTTAAAAAACCATTAAACCAAAAACAGCTGTCCCTAGTTTGTATCTATCCCTTCTTTTGTAGTAAACTTCGACCTCAGATTATTGCGTTCAAACAGCCGCTCTGGGCTCAAATCTCTTGTGACAGTGCATACAGTCAGCAGAGGCAGGTGCAGTGTTCCTCTCTCGAACAGAAGTGTGCGAGAGGCCCATCCTTCTCTCTGAGTGTGATTAAGCGCTTGTTTAGTCTCAATGGTCAGGTATTAAAAGGCCCCGTTAACGGATCAATAGCTCAAACAATGTTCCCCTGACAGGCCTGTGGAACATGTGGAGCCAAAGCAGCTTACGGACTCGTCTTCATTATCAACTTCGATCAGTGGCTGGCTGTCCCTGTCCCCCATGTCACCTCTGAGCACGGGGGTCAGCACAGAAGGGCCGACAGGGGGGACTGACCACATGCTGGGAGTGAAGGCCATCTTTATCTCTTTGTGAAAAGGCTTGATAAACTCGCTGCACAAAGGGTGGATGTGGGGTGCTCAGGTTCTGCTTTGAGCCCAGTTTAGTCCAGATGTAGCCCAAAATTACTTCAGAGTTTAGTTTCAAGGTGTTTTCATACTGTAGACCCATCTCGCCTTCTTACCACGGCAAAGACAGGAACTTGTCAAAATAATAGGGTTAAAACATGCTTCCACGCCAAGGAAGTCAACACATACATTATGGCCAGGCTTAAAACATTCTTCTGTAATTCAACAAATGGCTCGGCAGGTAAGACTTGGATAAAAAGGAAACAGAGATTATCAGTGGAGCTGCGTGTGGAGACACAGCTGTACAAGAATACATTGAATTTGAAATTGATTTGTTCATTGCGGGGGTGACAGTAGCTCAGTTGGTAGAGCACTGGTCTTTGGACCTTTGAATGTTTTTGGGTTCGAGTCCACCACGACCCATGTCACCTGCTCACACTGATGACTGCTGTCGTTGTGTCCCTGGGCAAGACACTTGACCCTACATTGCCTGAAGCCCCTGCTGAAAGACCAAGGCCATGTGTTCGATCACGGAGAAGCCATCATCCTGCGGACCCACCACCTGCAGAGGATCAGCGAGGGACTGGTGCATTGAGACTTGGGTGGCAGCTCAAGTCTCAATGCATAGACATAAAAATGGAATAATAAAGGGGTAGAAAATGACTTGATGACCCCCCCCCCCTCATCTCACATCAGTCCTGGATCTATAGCCATGTATTCACATTCATTAGCATTTATGGACAGTCGTCATCCCGCCTCCTATGGACCAATTTTGTTGTTGGTGAATCAACAACTTGTGCTCTATCTCATCGTAATCATCATATTTCTTATGTGCTGGTTCTGAACCCATTTAAATTGAACTTGGCCAGTTTTCTCATTCTCTTTCTTGGTATCTAAGAAATATTTGTGAAAACTATTGATACAATCAAGCAGTTACAGAAGAACTCCTTCAGTTCAGCAGCTTTAGTTCAGTCGTGCTGTTGTTTTAAATGTCAAGTCCACTCAGTGTCGTTCTCACCTCCCTCTGATCCCTGTGGTCCAGCCCGTCTCTGTGGATCTCCTCTGGTACGAGCTCTGCTCTCTTTGATTGAGTGTGGATCAGAGGTAATTGGTCCAGAGCGACAGACTAGATGTGGATCAGCTGCCACTGTCCGCGCAGGGGCCAAGGGCCAAGGGCCAAGGGCCAAGGGCAACACTCACACCACACTGACCCCACGATGACCGACTATAACATATTCTTAACACTCAGCTTATCCAACAATATGACCAGTAAGCATGCAGAGAAGGTCTATGAGGCAGGGGGCAGGGGCTCTAGCTCCAAGAAAAAGGATTGACCAAAATAAATCATTTTGCACCAAAATAATGTTGAGAAAGTGACAAATTCAGCACAAGGGTTTTCGTGCGTCTTGTTCAAGTTAAATTGGAGTCGGCGACTCTTTTGGTTCTCACATATTCCTTTATTGATACATATTTTCCTACACACCGCTGTGGAAAAAGCGCAGACTTAATAAATCTACAATTACCAGCACGGTTTTGTTAACAGCTGCTCTAAGCGAAAGCTCTTCATCTTAAGCGCTTCTTAATAACTTATCAATAGTGGAAATGTGTATTGACATTGGGCTGTCAGGATGGGAGCTTTGTACTTGTCCTGATGTTTAGACCAGCCGCTCCTTCCAATCGATGGGACACTCGGCACAGATTACCAGGCCATTGAGCTGGAGGTGTTAGCCGGGGAGGCAGGGGCCGTGATCGATGAGGCCCGGTGAACTCTGGCCCCGCAGAAACGGGGGTCAGCGACTAAGCCCCTCATGTGTCCCGGGACCATGCTGAGAGCTGACACTGGCTTTGACACACACGCACGCGCACACACACACACACGCACACACACGCGCACACACACGCGCACACACACACACGCGCGCACACACACATGCGCACACACGCACGCGCACACACGCACACACCAGCAGGACCACGGTGAGTCTATGGGACCTATCTTTAAGAATAAAGTGATTAGTATAACTTAAGCCATTCAACAATCATCTGCTACTTTGGCATAAATGTTAAAAACAGATTTCTTTTTAATACAAATGGTGCTACACAACAGTTCAATAAAACACTGTCCCGATGTTTTACCAGGGTTTCACTTCACCTTAACCTTATGAAGCCTGGTGGTGAAACGTGTGCTTTAACGACTGTATAAATCATAATCATCAGTATAGAAATCTACACCTCCATGAAGGTCCTAGTGTTCGAAGAGTCCGGCTCTCGGGACGACCGCAGCCCCCTCTGTGATGTCATAGTGATGTCATAGTGATGTCAGTATGAAGCCTCGTGAAGCAGTGAGGCAGATGGTTCAAAGGCAGATGGGGATTCACTTTCTCCACTGAGCCTGGAGAACACATGTACAACACTGAACGTCTGAACGTTAGTGTAATAATGCTTCATCAACTATTTAAGGCTTTCAGTCATTTGGGCCAATTAAACAAACATAGCACAGCTGAAGAAATGGGATTTAAACAGATCTGTTCCTCTCAACTCAGAATGACTCTGATTGTGAAAACTTTCTGCAGTGGTTTTGACAGGAGGTGATTAAACATATCAAAGTGTAAAGATCAACTCAATCATAGAATTTTAATGTTTGGAGATTTGTAAACGGTACATTTGTGGCTCGTTGTAAGCTGAATACAATATGTTATAAAGGGCATTACTAATGAATTACTTTTTTTATTTAAGATATATTTCTAATGAACATGAACCAACGCGGACTCCTGCTGGTTCCCAGAGTCGGTTCTAAACATGGGGAGGCAGAATTTCAGATTCATGCAGCTGGGTTTTGGAACAGTCTTCCTGAAAATGTGAGACAGGCTTCTGCTCTGACAATATTCGGTTAAAACCACTTCTGTTGTGAGTTCATACGATCAAAGGACGGTATCTTCTTTCTCTTTACTGTGATTATGAAGTGTATTTATCTCCTGCTATGATGCTCATGTTTCCTCTGGTTTATTCAGGGACTTTGAGTTTACTTGGTCCTGGGTTCGAATCCCGGTCGGAACAGGGCCTTTCTGAGTGGAGTTTGCATGTTCTCCCCATGTCTGTGTAGGTTTCCTCCGTGTGCTCCGATTTCCCCTACCACTAAAAACATGCACAATAGGTCTGAATGTAAATGAGAGAGTGAATGATGGTGTTGGGTCAGAGGCTTTGATGGTCCAGTGTGTTCTGGACTCGCTTCTGTCATCACCGTGTGTGGAAGGATTGGAACAATATCTGACTCTGAACATTGGAAAGTGCTTTGGGTCTGTGCCTTGGTCTGTAACATGTGCTATATAAATAAACATTATTGACTTTATTGAGAAATGAAGTCTGTACATTTGTGTTGTTGTTGTTGCTAAAGTGTGTTTCCCGAGCTGCATGTCGAACACTCATTTTGGAGAAAGTTGGATTGCAGTTTCTCTGGACTCTTTTTACCTGGACAAGGTACTTTGGTCCTGAATTCACCAGTATTAAGTAAGCTGGTACAGACTGCAGCTGGTACAGACTGCAGCTGGTACAGACTGCAGCTGGTACAGACTGCAGCTGGTACAGACTGCAGCTGGTACAGACTGCAGCTGGTACAGACTGCAGCTGGTACAGACTGCAGCTGGTACAGACTGCAGCTGGTACAGACTGCAGCTGGTACAGACTGCAGCAGGTACAGACTGCAGCTGGTACAGACTGCAGCTGGTACAGACTGCAGCTGGTACAGACTGCAGCTGGTACAGACTGCAGCTGGTACAGACTGCAGCTGGTACAGACTGCAGCTGGTACAGAATGCAGCTGGTACAGACTGCAGCTGGTACAGACTGCAGCTGGTACAGACTGCAGCTGGTACAGATGCTGACTGGCACCAGACGAGCACATCACTCCTGAGCTGTCGTCTCTACATTGGCTCCTGTCGCTTTTAGAATTGTACTGTTAGTATTTAAGAAATTGTTTGGGTTATAATTGAATTGAATGTGGGTTTGGGTTGACCTGCATTGGAGATGGGAAATCTACCATCAAGGTGTTGAAACCAAGCGAATAATTATCCACGTTGTCCACAATGGGGTGTTTTGTGAAACTATGTTGCAAGACGATGTCCAACAAGTGGTTCATGTTTTACTTGTCGGGCTTTTCCATGTGTGAGGGTCTGGGTTTTTCTGTTCTGGAATAAATAAGGTGCCTGAGGCGTATCAAGCAGGACTTGCTTTTTGGCTGCGTTAGGACGCGCAGGCCTCCTTCGCAGATGAAAGACATCTCCTTGTTACATGCAAGTAAAAACTAATCCCTTGTCTGTTGTGTGCATCTGTCCAGATAACTTTAATGGAACCCGTTTTTAACAGGGGCTTCAAGGATTGGACCTAAATTCATCCAGAAGACTGTGAGGGTGTGCATGGGTAGGTCTAACTGTTGCTTGTCTTCAAAAAGTGTCACTCTCTCTTCTCGATGTAAAACATTATTGGCCTTCTCTGTAATTGGACTGAGTGTGAACACTGTTTGGCATCCTGTTCTGAAAACATATATTTTTTATGTGCAAAAAACTTTAGAATGCCTCTCCACCTCTGCACCATCCCAGCTCAGGCCCGGTGTAATGATGATGCCCTGTCCCGCGGTGGGCTAAACGATCCAGGACGGGGGGCATCGCTGCGCCCCTGAGATGCAGAGGCTCACATACACACAAGTGCGTTCTTTGTGTTGGTCTAATCCCCCCAGCCAACACAGCTTTGGCCAGGTTTCATCATGAAAGTGCCATGAAATAAGTACTTTTTCTCTTCTTGCACCAAATCTCCTCTAATCCAGCGGGCCGCGGAGACAAAGGCTCCGAGACCTAATCCTGGAGCTCTGAGAGGCAGCCCACCGAGCGCTTTTAAATGACTTATTTCTATGGGACGCTAATAAAGTTTGACAGGCCAGGACTGCAAAAGGAGGAGGACGAGGGGAACGCAGAACAAACATTTTCACTTTGTTTTGGAGAAAATGAGCAAGAGGAAGTAGTGCCATACAGAAAGCAAAAAGACAGCACAGAGAGCAGCACAGACACTGGGCACTTCTGACCTTTGACCTCTGCAGGAATCAAAACCAAAGTCTAGACTCAGCGGAAATTGGAATTTTAGTAATGTATTCAACTTCCCTCCTGAATGCTCTGTTTTAGTTTTGAATTGTTTTTAAGCGTGTTATCATTACTAGTGACTTTTTTGTGCTGAGACAGACGCCCATGAAAAGTGAGATTCTGGAACTCCTGACCCTTCTTGAGGTAAAGAGACTTCAATAAAAAATCAGCAAAGCCGTGTCCAACATGTGGCAGCACCGTGAGCAGTGCGACCACATGGTCATTTTCAGAATCCTTTGGGGGCCCATCAGAAAGAGGGAGTAAAGGCAGATGCGTCATTTGTTTACTTTGTGGTTGCACTGTAAAGAATGTCCGCGTAGAAAAACGGTAAAAAAAGACTGTTTCACTGAATCACATGATGCCTTTGTGATTTCAGGATTTAACAATGTTCCTGTTCATTCATTATAATGTTAATGTTGTATTATCACACCATATGTTTCTGTTTCTAATTAATGTCATTGAACTAAAAGCTACAGTTTAATTTTTTTTTCCTTTAATGAACACAACTTTTTAATTATCTTTTAACATCTTCAGTTTATACAAAAAAATAGTTGAAATCTCTACTTCTATAATAAGCATCTTTTTAACAAAAGCAGAGTGTGCACCTCTTACTCTCATGGTTGTTAGCAAACATTTCCCAGCATTCCAAAAATATTGTGATTTTATGGTATTGTAACGTTTTTTGTAATCACATTATAATTGTGGTCATAAAACGCCACCGGATGTTTTTTAACCAATTTATACTTAAATTTGCATGTTTTAAATTGTTTTTCAGAATAACATTTGTCACAGGTGCTGCTTATGTCAATCCAGGAAGTCCAATTCTCACTTATTATGAAAATAATTCAAACCCACATCATTTCAAGTCAAATCTTACACATGTCCGTCTTAACTTTATATTTGTGAAGTCTGTGACATGCCGTTTACATTCGACATTCCACGACACACAGACTTTCTTCTAAAGTTGATCAAATCCATGAATGCATAGATTAACTTTGCACAATGCTACTTTATCCACAAAATATGTCCAGTGTTATCAAAGACACTCACTCTCCCCGTCCCGGCGGACTCTCTGGACGACAGCAGGACAATCCCAGGCTGCTATTTGAAGCCTGGGAGATTATGCCACCGCATTGTCCTAATTGTTTTAACAGGGACGAATGAAACGGCGCCTTGTAGGGGGATCTCTGGCATAAATCTCTCAAGTTCAATAGTTTGAGAAGAAAAAAAGACTATTCCCCCCCCTTTTAACCCACATCCCACCTAATCCTGGCTAATACCTTTCTTTCTATTGGCTAATGGGACGGGGAGTTTGGGCAAATGCTACTTAAAGAGTTGGGTGAGAATATGCAGCACAAAGAGCCAAGGTTCTGGGATAAGGCCGAAGGAAAAGCTGGAAATAAGTGGACTTTTTGCTGCTACTGCGAGTGACTACTGCTACAACCACTACAGGTACTGTTTCAGTCCAGACTGCTGGTTTTGTATGAATGAGAAGAATTTAGACACCAATTGTGTAATGTTGTAATGTTATGTTTAGTCTTAATTAATCAGAGAAACAGAAAAAACACAGATATGATGCCTGCCTTGTTCTTGTCTTACAGCAACAGTTTAAACCCATAAATTGGAAAATGTTTTGATAGATTAAAGCCAGGAACATGCAGAGAGAAGCCGGTCCTTTAACGCTGTATCCTGTTAATGTTATAATGTGTCAACAGAAAGGCCACATCCCGCTGTCTGCATCACGATAGAAAAAATGTTATATTTTGCATACTTTTTTGACTCTTTGACTCGATGAGGGTGGGTCTATCTTTTTCCCTTTTTTGTCTGAAAAGGCTGATCTAAAGATGTGACAAAAAATACATGAAACTAGTCAAAGAAGCAAGCTGTTTTGAGAGCATCCCAAAATACAGAATCCTTGAAAAAACCACTATCAATAAAATGAAAAAATATATCAAAAAGGTTAACACTAAAGATGAACTTTAAACAAACCACCCAAAAACACAAATAAAAGCCAGGATATCTGAGCTCCGTGCTTCCATCTTCTTTGAATGTGATTAAATAAACTTTTGAGCAATCTTCTAGTTTCCCGTGTTTCAACCATATCACTTCTTCCACTGTCGTTAAATATTAGAAGCACTTCAAGGACCTTCTCACTTTTCAACCGGACACTGCATTGTCAGGGACCTCCCAAATGTTGAGGCAGAGTCAATCATTCTTAGTTGGATCTGAAAAAGAAATGCAGAAATGTAGAGATATCTATAATATATACAGTAATTTTAAACTAAAATGAGAAGATTGATGAGTAGTTAAGACGTCTGAAGATTTGGATAGAGCCAGGTTTTCATGTTTTGTTTGAGTTCCGAAGAGGAGCCTTTTTCTTGACAAACGATGAGCCTTCGTTTAAAGGTGAGGTACCGGACTTCTTCACATATGTATGTTTGTTTCTGCATCAATTGTTTTCAAAAAGTAAAATGGTGCATGAAAATCAGACCAAAACATGAAGTCTTCATTTGGGCTTGGAGGTGATTGACTGATTGTCTTTTTCACTCTTTTTCTGAAGATGTGACAGAGGCCAAAAAATGCATAATGTGAAAATGTGATAGGACCAAACCAGAAACGTGTGACATGGATTTTATTTCACAGTTTCATTGTTTGTAGTTTGGAAATGAGCTTCCCCGGGTTTAGGTGAAGGGGGCAGCGAGGAGAGGCTTCACAAAGGCTGTCAGTGTGGAATGTTTCTGAGGCCCTCGACTTACACCTCCACAGCAGCATTTCTCCTGCTTTTCCTCCCAAAAACAAAATCAAGCTTTTTTTGGAGGTGACTTAAATGGTCTAGTCCTAAAATACCAAAGCTGAATACCTAAGGTTTTAAACCACACAAAAATTAGCTTAAATTCAGACTGTCCATCCATCCATTTTCTACCCTTTAATCCATTTCTGGGTCAGGGGGGTGGCAGTCAGAGATGCCACCCAAGTCTCATAGCACCAGCCCCTCACTGACCCTCTGCAGGTGGTGAGTCCACAGGAGGACGGCTGCTCTCTGAGTGAGAGCATAGCCTTGATCTTTCAGCGGGGGCTTTGGGCAAAGTGGGGTTAAGTGTCTTGCCCAAGGACACAACGACAGCAGTCATCAGTGGGAGTCGGTGGAGAAGGTGCAGAGGTGGGAATTGAACCCACAACCTTCTGGCCATAAGGCCAATGCTCTACCAACTGAGCTACTGTCGCCCAAATTCAGACTGTAAAGACCAAAAAAAAAAACACGGCACTTCATCATCATCACTTCATGGCTGCATTTAAACAGAGCCTCTCAGTTCTCTGCTGCTTCAAGCTGGTGTTTGAGCAGCAACCCACCTCCTCCTGTTCACCACCTCTACAGTAGAGTATCATGTCATGCCACCGGGGTCTAGGCCTCAAGGGGTTCACAAACTCCCCCCTGCACACATCATTCAATATTCCTGCCGGGATTAGTATGGGGCCGATGACTGCTGCTGCGACTTGGCTTCATGCTATTTTTAATGTAATAACCATCCATTCTTTTTGTTTTCTTTTTTTCCCTTTTTGCATTTTTTACAATATATTACAATTTGTAGGTTACACCCCCCATGGATGATGGAAACAATGTAGTTCTAGCGCCCGGCCAGTAGTAGGCAGTGGAACTTTATATAACACACGGCACACGCAACCCCCAGAAATATAACTAGTTCCTCAACAACATTCTCCTCAGGCCTCCGCAAAAGGGGAAAGAATGCACCAAGATTATTCTGCATTTAACAGGACCCACAGGGCTGTGTTCTTTCTCCCCTGCTCTTCTCCCTGTACACCATTATAATAGATCCATGCTGTACACCAACCACTGCACCTCCTCCCACTGCACCTCCAGTCACGACTCTGTGAAGTTTACAAAGTTTGTGAACGACACCACCCTCATTGGACTCATCTCCGACAACGATGAGTCCGCCTACAGGAGGGAGGTGGACAGGTGTAACGACGGTTTGCACTGCCTTGACGAGATACACTGCCTCAGCTGTTTATGATGTAGGCAGGAGGCTACGGTCAGGATCAGAACCTCTCGTCATAAGAACAGTCTCTTCCCCTCTGCTGTTGGGACTCTTGAACACTTCAGAACCTTGTCCTCCTAACCTTTATATAAAGTTACTTTACTGCTCTTTACAGCATCACTTTATTGCCATCACCTGTAGATTTGTATTATGCCTCATTCTATTCTCTGCTTTTGACTTGTTTGACTTGTCCCGAGAGCCAAAGTCTGTGACTCCCTTTTATTTACACGGCAATAAAAATGATTCTAATTCTGATAATAAATCAATTTGCTTAAGGGTACATGTAATCTGTCATGAATAAATACATTGTTTTTTCCATCCTACTTAACACGATTTCCATTATGTGATTACTGGCCCATATTGTAAAATAGTTTTGCCCAATTAGCAGTGAAAGCTGGAGTATGTAACGTTCAAAACAAAACAAAAAAACGTTGTAAAATATTAAAATAGTTTCTTGCTCTCAAAACAGTTTGCTCATATCACTAGTATTTACCCTTCCCATCTCTCCCCGAAGCTCGTATGGACTCTCTGGGATCTTGTGGGGCCCCCGGAGCCGCTCTCTCTCTGCAGGCGGTCAACACCTTGTTATACGAGCTTCACCAGCAGAGGGCGCAGCATACCCGTGTGTTCTCCACCGCGCCGTCTGTGGCAGAGAGGCTGGCAGGTACCATCAACACACCATCAACACACCCTCAACACACCATCAACACACCATCAACACACCATCAACACACCATCAACACACCATCAACACACCATCAACACACCCTCAACAAACCATCAACACACCATCACCACACCATCAACACACCATCAACACACCATCACCACACCATCAACACACCATCACCACACCATCAACACACCATCAACACACCATCACTACACCATCACCACACCATCAACACACCATCAACACACCATCACTACACCATCACCACACCATCAACACACCATCACCACACCATCAACACACCATCAACACACCATTACCACACCATCACCACACCATCACCACACCATCAACACACCATCACTACACCATCACCACACCATCACCACACCATCAACACACCATCAACACACCATCACCACACCATCAACACACCATCAACACACCATCAACACACCATCAACACACCATCACACACCATCACCACACCATCACCATCACCACACCATCACCACACCATCAACACACCATCACACACCATCACCACACCACACACACCATCACCACACCATCAACACACCATCACCACACCATCACCACACCATCACCACACCATCAACACACCATTACCACACCATCACCACACCATCAACACACCATCACCACACCATCAACACACCATCACACCACACCATCACACACACCATCACCACACCATCACCACACCATCAACACACCATCACCACACCATCAACACACCATCAACACACCATCACCACACCATCAACACACCATCAACACACCATCAACACACCATCACCACACCATCACCACACCATCACCACACCATCAACACACCATCACCACACCATTACCACACCATCACCACACCATCAACACACCATCACCACACCATCAACACACCATCAACACACCATCAACACACCATCACGACACCATCACCACACCATCAACACACCATCACTACACCATCACCACACCATCACCACACCCTCAACAAACCATCAACACACCATCACTACACCATCAACACCATCACCACAACCACACACCCTCAACAAACCATCAACACACCATCACCACACCATCAACACACCATCAACACACCCTCAACAAACCATCAACACACCATCACCACACATCACATCAACACACCATCAACACACCATCACCACACCATCAACACACCATCAACACACCATCAACACACCATCAACACACCATCAACACACCATCACACACCATCACCACACCATCACCACACCATCAACACACCATCAACACACCATCACACACCATCACCACACCATCAACACACCATCACCACACCATCAACACACCATCAACACACCATTACCACACCACCATCACCACACCATCACCACACCATCAACACACCATCACTACACCATCACCACACCATCACCACACCATCAACACACCATCAACACACCATCACCACACCATCAACACACCACACAACACACCATCAACACACCATCACACACCATCACCACACCATCACCACACCATCACCATCACCACACCATCAACACACCATCAACACACCATCACCACACCATCACCACACCATCACACACACCATCACCACACCATCACCCACCACACCATCACCACACCATCACCACACCATCAACACACCATCACCACACCATCACCACACCATCAACACACCATCACCACACCATCACCACACCATCACCACACCATCAACACACCATCACCACACCATCACCACACCATCACACACCATCACCACACCATCAACACACCATCAACACACCATCAACACACCATCACCACACCATCAACACACCAACCACACCATCAACACACCATCAACACACCATCACCACACCATTACCACACCATCACCACACCATCACCACACCATCACACACACCATCACACACACCATCACCACACCATCACCACACCATCACCACACCATCACCACACCATCAACACACCATCACCACACCATCAACACACCATCAACACACCATCAACACACCATCACACACCATCACCACACCATCACCACACCATCAACACACCATCACACACCATCACCACACCATCACCACACCATCACACACCCTCAACAAACCATCAACACACCATCACACACCATCAACACACCATCAACACACCCTCAACAAACCATCAACACACCATCACCACACCATCAACACACCATCAACACACCATCAACACACCATCAACACACCCTCAACAAACCATCAACACACCATCACCACACCATCAACACACCATCACACACACCATCACCACACCATCACACCATCACCACACCATCAACACACCATCAACACACCATCACCACACCATCACCACACCATCAACACACCATCACCACACCATCACCACACCATCACCACACCATCAACACACCATTACCACACCATCACCACACCATCAACACACCATCACCACACCATCACACACACCATCACCACACCATCAACACACCATTACCACACCATCACCACACCATCAACACACCATCACCACACCATCACCACACCATCAACACACCATCAACACACACCACACCACACACACCATCAACACACCATTACCACACCATCAACACACCATCAACACACCATCACCACACCATACCACACCATCACCACACCATCACCACACCATCAACACACCATCACCACACCATCACCACACCATTACCACACCATCACCACACCATCAACACACCATCACCACACCATCAACACACCATCAACACACCATCAACACACCATCACGACACCATCACCACACCATCAACACACCATCAACACACCATCACTACACCATCACCACACCATCACCACACCCTCAACAAACCATCAACACACCATCACTACACCATCAACACACCATCAACACACCCTCAACAAACCATCAACACACCATCACCACACCATCAACACACCATCAACACACCATCAACACACCCTCAACAAACCATCAACACACCATCACCACACCATCAACACACCATCAACACACCATCACCACACCATCAACACACCATCAACACACCATCACTACACCATCACCACACCATCAACACACCATCAACACACCATCACTACACCACCATCACCATCACACCATCAACACACCATCACCACACCATCAACACACCATCAACACACCATTACCACACCATCACCACACCATCACCACACCATCAACACACCATCACTACACCATCACCACACCATCACCACACCCTCAACAAACCATCAACACACCATCACTACACCATCAACACACCATCAACACACACCCTCAACAAACCATCAACACACCATCACCACACCATCAACACACCATCAACACACCATCAACACACCCTCAACAAACCATCAACACACCATCACCACACCATCAACACACCATCAACACACCATCACCACACCATCAACACACCATCAACACACCATCACTACACCATCACCACACCATCAACACACCATCAACACACCATCACTACACCATCACCACACCATCAACACACCATCACCACACCATCAACACACCATCAACACACCATTACCACACCATCACCACACCATCACCACACCATCAACACACCATCACTACACCATCACCACACCATCAACACACCATCAACACACCATCACTACACCATCACCACACCATCAACACACCATCACTACACCATCACCACACCATCAACACACCATCAACACACCATCACTACACCATCACCACACCATCACCACACCATCACACCACACCATCACCACACCATCACCACACCATCACTACACCCATCACCACACCATCAACACACCATCAACACACCATCACCACACCATCAACACACCATCAACACACCATCAACACACCATCACTACACCATCACCACACCATCACCACACCATCAACACACCATCAACACACCATAACACACCATCACCACACCATCACCACACCATCAACACACCATTACCACACCATCACCACACCATCAACACACCATTACCACACCATCACCACACCATCAACACACCATCACCACACCATCAACACACCATCACCACACCATCACCACACCAACCACACACCACACCACACCATCACCACACCATCACCACACCATCAACACACCATTACCACACCATCACCACACCATCACCACACCATCAACACACTATTACCACACCATCACCACACCATCAACACACCATCACCACACCATCAACACAACCATCACCACACCATCAACACACCATTACCACACCATCACCACACCATCAACACACCATCACCACACCATCAACACACCATTACCACACCATCACCACACCATCAACACACCATCACCACACCATCAACACACCATCAACACACCATCACCACACCATCACCACACCATCAACACACCATTACCACACCATCACCACACCATCAACACACCATCACCACACCATCAACACACCATTACCACACCATCACCACACACCATCAACACACCATCACCACACCATCAACACACCATTACCACACCATCACCACACCATCAACACACCATCACCACACCATCAACACACCATCACCACACCATCAACACACCATCACCACACCATCAACACACCATCAACACACCATCACCACACCATCAACACACCATTACCACACCATCAACACACCATCACCACACCATCACCACACCATCAACACACCATCACCACACCATCACCACATCATCAACACACCATTACCACACCATCACCACACCATCACCACACCATCAACACACCATTACCACACCATCACCACACCATCAACACACCATCAACACACCATCACCACACCATCAACACACCATCAACACACCATCACCACACCATCAACACACCATTACCACACCATCAACACACCATCAACACACCATCACCAAACGCAAGAATACTCACTTTTTCATGTTTTAATTGGACGTGGTAATATATATATAAAAAAAAAAATCACTTTTCAAAACACATTCATTTAACTTTTACACTAAACACCAAACTCCACCATGTGAAAGATCAAAGTATTGATTGATTTTAGTCAAATTAAACATTCTGTTATTAATCAAGAATATAGTTTTGCACAGCCCTTTACTTAATCACAGGAACCTGAAACTTATTCTCAGGTGAACGTTCCTCTGCCGTGAAATGGAAGTGTTCAAACCCAACGGTCGGGGATTCTCCAGCCTGTTAGCCAACCCCAGAGTTTATACTTAAGCATCTGTTTTTAAGTGCAGAGATTATTCCCACTTTCAGTTTGAGTGAAAAAGTTATTCCATCAAAAGGTCACAAAAAAGAAATGTAGAAGTGTAGGAGGGGTCTTAAAATTGAATTCTTTACTTTTTGAATGGATGATTATTTATGTTAACAAATGGCTTAAAATATATAGCATAGTCCTGTTTCCATGCTGCAGTATGTGCACTAAAAAAATAAAAAATGGTCACTTCAGATTCTCTGCTGTTGTTTTTGCTGACTTTTCTATTAAAAAAACTGCAATGCTGCCAAATCATCTGTGCATCACAGCTTTGTAAAAAGCATGTCTCAGGTGTAACAGATTATAAATGACTTAAATGACAAAAAAGTGATTGTATGAATGAACTAATAATAATAATAATAATAATGCATTGGTTTTATATAGCGCTTTCTTTCACTCCATACATGGTGGTATCTGAAGGGAAAACCACTAGAACATGGACAAAAGCTGGGAAAAGTCCATTCTGCATATATACCCTTAGATATCCTTCACACATACTGTATTTTGGGGTCTGGGACTAAACAGCTGTACCCTGTTTGTTCAGAGCTGCTGTTGGAGGCTCAGTATGGCAGTCCACAGAAGCAGCGCCGCAGCAGAACAGCTTTCTCCGTGTCACAGCTAGAGGCTCTGGAGAAGGCCTTCCAGCAGACCCAGTACCCAGACGTGAGCATGAGAGAGAGACTGGCCCTGAGTGTGAACCTGCCTGAGGCCCGCATCCAGGTGACCCCTCACACATACACTATAGGGCTCTAGTCGACCAAAGGCATTCGTCCTTTCCATCTATCAGGCAACTAAAAAGGGGATGAGGACATGAAAGACGATAACCTCATTCCCACTGCATGCCAAACACAGGATTTTCAGCCCAAACCCTGAGTCGCCTGTTCCTGTTCCTTACTGAGTGACATGGACTGGCGCATCTAGTCCTTGCTTACTCCATTTGCCATATATTGTCAAAAGAAATTATTTCACATTCCAAAGCCCAAGTAAAAACTGCAATCTGCAGCCCTGAGGGCACTCAGAGTTCATCAGGGGCTGTGAGCTGTTTGTAATTAAAGTTTTATTTAAAGCTCACCTTGGGTTTCAAAAACCCAAAACTGCTTGCATTTAAAGTATCATTGTAAGCTAACAAATTTTACTAAAACATTTTTACCATAAGTAAAAATGTCACTAAAACATTCTTACCAAAAGTACAGAAGCATGGAGATGATAATGACGGTGACATTTCATTTGCATCAATCAAATCTATCACAAAGAAACTTTGATTTCAATCCATTGTGCATGTGTCTCATTTTAGGTCTGGTTTAAAAATAGAAGAGCCAAGTTCCGTAAAGGCCAGAAGTCCTCTTCTCCACTCTCCAACGATCTTACTTTGGACGAAGCGACTCCAAAACCCACCCTGACCTCTCAAGAAGAGCCACAAGAGACAACTGCAGCTACCTCCAATGGCACACATAGACACCCTTCCCTTCCTCGCATTTCAATGTCAGACAACAAACATCACATTCTGCCCTCTCTGAACTCTGAAATCCACCAACTCAGACTGCACTACCCACCACAATTTGCCAGTTTGGTGCAATCACTTCCCCAGCCACAGCAGCAGCCCCTTGGGGTAATGCTGGCGGCAGAGATGTCCCGGGCCCCCATGTTGTGGCCCTTTGTGAATCCTCAGCGGCCAACCTTGGGAGCTTCCCTAAGATCTCCCGTCTCTAAAAACTGTAGCTTCTCCATCCACGCTCCCCCACTAAACACGGGATACTCTCACCTAGGGCTGTGATCGTAAACACAATAGGTAAATTCCTCCAGCTGCAGTAGTCCTGACCAAGCCCAGCATCAACATCTGGAGATGGGTTCCCGGGTGCTGTTACTACGGCGACCACTGCTCCTGACGTAAGCCTTAGCGGCATCAGGATGGGTCAAATGCAGAGGATGAGTTGCCCTACAGGGATAAATGAAGTGCATCTTTACCTTAATACAAAACTCACAGCAGAGGTGAAAAGTCTGTATTTTACTTATGCACCCAACTTATGTGTCTTGTATATTTTTGTCTCAACAGAAAAAGTGAAATAAATCCAGTCTGCAACAGTCTGTCTTCATCTAATCAGAAAACCTTTTATCCGTTGCATACTTGTGAGAAAGAGCCGTGGGAGTTACTGTGTGATGCTTTAGGCTGAAAGAGGAAAAGCAGATCTAAAAATGTGACAAACGCCAAAAGGACATGTATCTGAAAACTGGCAATAGAAAGAACCCGTTTTGAGATGGATGTGTGTTGGTTCGAAAGTCAGGCACCCCAGCTTAAAGCACTGTATTTCTTATTTTCTTTTGGAGAGTATCTGTATTTGAGTATTTGCTTTTCATTGTGACACCCTCCTCATTAAACCAATCTCTCTATTTTGTGCATTTATACAGGTGTGTAGTGGTAGCCATGAGTGGTTGAAGTGGTAAACCATGCTTCTAAGTTCAAAACAACACCTGCTTAAATATTGTCTATCATTGAGAAAAAAATGCATCTTATTCCTCTTCCTTTTTGCATTGATGCTTGTAACCACCGGCTGTGTACTGTCTGTTTTTTGTCTGATGGTGTTAAGCCATACAGACAAATTCAATAAAGTTTTAAGAAAAAACACAGAAACAAATACAAAAAAATAAAAACAAAAAAACAAGTGGATCCCCCCGAAAAATCATTTAGAAACAGAAAACCCTGCAAGAAAAGCAATTAGGGCTGTAGTGGACTTCATCACAAAGAAATACTTGATTGACTAAAGACCTATATAATAATTAATAAATAATAATAAGTCATTATAATAGTTGACTAAATAAGTTACATCTGAGCCATTAGATGAGGAAACATGTAACCATATTTAAAAACATGGATTAAACTTGCAAATCAAGGCTCTTTCTGCATTAAGACCAAATATTTAACTTGTACTTTAATAGAGGGATGTACAGTAGAATAATATTTACAGAAAACATAATACAATATTAACAATAATTTAGAGTTGAAATAAACACATAATAAAATAAATAAATACACACAAAATGAATATATACATTAAGTGTTTTTTTCCTTATTGAACACTACGCTCATAAGGAAGGGTTCAATATCAAAATAATAAATACTTACATTAATAAAATCCGATTTCCTCACGTAGATTTTTTTATTTTTCATTTATAAAAAGGACAAATATACATATACAACGAAATATACAATGACGAAGACAAAAACAAAAATATTTACATTATATACGTACGTAGAAAAAGCTAACGCTATTCACTAAACAGTTTACTTGCGTTGTGTTGCGTAAAAAAGCTGTGACGCTGGCTGACGCGGCAGCAGGCCACCCTCCACAGCTCCGGGCTTAAAGAGACATCAACGAGGATTATTACAGACATGAACAATATTCGCCACATCAGGCATTTATGACGCGAATATCTCCTTATAATCTACAATTGAAGGTAAAACGGTTTTTGTTGCAACAGATCCGCGTTGATTGTCTGTTTTCTGATCCGTGTGCTATCGACTACAGCTAAAACTATAGTAGAGCTTCCCGATATGCGTCAGGCATTAACGCGCATAATCATAAACATTTATAACAACATAAACTCACTTGGTGGTCATCTAACCTCACATAAGAGACGCAGATCAGCTCCAAATGCACTGTCACCGTTTGCACATAGTGTTCGATTAAACATACCGATTAATCATATTCGAAACGGATTATTCTTTAATGCACACAATTATGCTAGTTTGTCATTTGATGGATAGTAAAATATGAGTAAATGTATTAAGCAGTCGTAACTACATGTTGATGTCTGTCTGGGGCTGCATCCGATTTCAGAAAATTCACTTCCTTTCTTATCCTTCCTCATGTTATAAAACAGCTCTTTTATTAAGTCTACGTTTTTTTCAGTGAAATATAACTGCCAATATTTTCTACACATTTTAAATTAGAACTTAAGTGAAATGTCTCTATACTAGAAACGACAATAGGAAGGATAAGGAAGTGGGTATTGTTTATGAATTCAGGTTCAGGCCATGTATCTTGGTATTTCGTCCTGTAGCACGCTAGTCCCTAACCAAATTAACCGTTCTTAACCCTTACAATTACTTTAACCATAATCTTAACCTGTATGTGACTCTTCATCCCAAATCAAAAGGAAAGAATAGCAACAACATTGTAATATTGCAACCTGAGACGAAATGCCAAGATTTTAGTGTGCGTGTGTGTGTGTGTGTGTGTGTGTAGCTAACTGCTAACTGCTAACTGCTAACTGCTAACTGCTAACAGAAGCTAAGCTAAAGGAGCCCAGGCTGCTGTCGCTTTGCAGTGTGTAGGATTAAGGAGTTGCCCGGCAGTGGTCACCTTATTGAGGATAATGACCATTGATATAGCGGCAATCTGAGCTCCAAACTCCGCATTCAGGTGATATTATCCCTCATTTACACACAATAGTATCCATTCATTTGATGACATGTTATTTACCAGTTATTAAGCATTTGTGGTCCAGTAGCTTAGACGCGATCAATATTTGTTCTATATTTTGTCCTGTTTTCTTGCGGTCACTTCGCATTGGGTTGGTAAAGGTGTTTTCACCACAAAGCTCTGTTTGAATATTAAAAATGTGCCATATTTATATCTTGTTTATATCTTGTATGTGTTTGTGAAGCTTTGGGAGATGTCTCAGGCCTCACAGGAACCGTGTAGCAGGGTTAGCTCCATTTATGGGTTTCCGGCTTTCTTTGGTGTTTGATTGTAACCAGAATCATATCCAATATTAGAAGCAGACTTATGTTTTTGATAAATACAAATATGAAATGCAGGGAGTGCACATGGCAGATGGCTCAGGCCTGGGCTGTGGACACATCACCACCATCATTCAGAATTTAACACGTTTATCTTGTTTTTTTATAAAATGGATTCTCTTTAATGGAATTTCAGCTGTGCTCAGTCATATGCTCGTAAATGACACATTGGAGTCTTAGTATCTATAGTGTCTAATAAGAAAACAATATAATAAATCTGTTGAATGAAAAAATTAAACCAAAATGACTGTTGCTAAATGGATTGTATTCTTTTGAGTAGCACCAAAACCATACTGCATATTCGTGACCACCTGCTGAGCCATGAATATCAGTGGAGCCAATATATCATTCAATTGATTGAATAAGACCGTAAAATGACTGGTTTATATTAACCCAGAACATCAGATTTCACTTTACTTTTGGACATGAAAGACTGTATTCAATAGGTGGCGCTCTCCCTGTGTCTGCGTAGGTGACACCGGACCACCCAGAGAAAACCTGGAAACACTTACTGAATCACCGAATAGTTCAGGGTGAACTGTGTTTGTGAGTGCAACAACAGATGGGAATTAACCCAAGGCTACAATCTAGTGTATTTACAGCAGTTACTTTTCAGTAATGCACACTGTCCCAACCAAATGAACAAATGAACAAATAAAGATGGACAGTGTAACCCCAGTGTAATAGGGAAGTGCTCATGGGGACTTTTGGCTTCATTCACCTTGAATGGTAAACTCAAGTGCTGTAACCGTCTGTGTCACTACTCACCATGATGGCCTTTACATCTGCACTTTAATGCTTTGCATAATCCTGGTGTTTCAAGAATCAAACAATTCAAACACAGGAAATGCAATGATGACAAACGCATTGGTCATGACCAAACCCGTTAGCTCAAACTGGTTTCTTATGGTTTCAATAAGGCTATAGTTTATGTTAGCATGCGGCTAGTTAGCTCCTTTCACAGTGTATGGTGTATGGTGCTCCGGTTCCCCTACCATGAAAACATGTACAATAGGACTGGCATGCGCCTCCTGTGTACTAGCAACCCCACTCCCATTTCTGTGTAGAGTGAGATGATACAAGCCCAAAACAATTGTAAAGCACTTAGCGACTGGTCTGTGTGTCATGACTTAAATGTAGACTTTCATCTTGGAGCCAGGCATTTGCCACATTGTGCATCTCTAACAGCTGATGTTAACAGAAGCTCCTTCCTATAACATGACAGTGTGCAGAGACCTGAGACGAATTGTTCTTGAGAACATCTGCAGCCCTTTACATCCTGCGCGAAGGCTGCATCATTGGAATTAAATATGTAATGGTGATTTTTCAGAAAAAACATTATTTATTTGAATATATATTGAAAGTATTATGTGATTTCATCTCCTACTTGTGTGTCATTTACAATGACAAAATAAAAACTCATAAAAATTTGATTAAAACAGCTTTTATTAATAAGCTATAATAATAATATTATTATATTAATAATATAATACTAATTTATGAAGAATAAAGGAATGAATATTGAATATGAAGAAAAACTTCTCATTTAGTATTAAAGGGTGACTTCCACAGACATGTGATCAATATCACTAGAAAATGGGGTCCATATAATGTTCAATAATTTCATAATCTCTACTCTGTACATATTTTAGATGATCCATATCCTTATTTTAGATAGAATAAAAAGAGTTTCAGATACAGCAATAACAGTAAAAGGATTTGATAACTGTTTGAGATACACGTTGATGTAATTGAAAGTTACATCTGATGTTGAAGCGAATTACTGAGGTGGGGTTAAGAATAATAAAAAAAAAACGGAAAAAAACGATATTGATACTTGGCAAATGCATATCGATAATCGCGGGAGAAAGTATTGCGATATATCGAAAAATCGATATATATCGTCATACCCCTACTTCACACCAGAACGTCCTGACGCGAGCCGGAAGTACCGGAAGTAGCCGGCTCTGATG